TTTATTCTCTTAATCTCGCGAGGAAGTCTATGTCAAAACAACCATATGATAACATTTACTGAATTGTTATGCTAAAGATTTTGACATCGTTTCAATAAAATTAATATTTCTTTTCTAAGCTATTTATCGATTGTCTGTATTATTTGATTTGTTATCGCATGAGGTAAACTTGACAAAATTGATTCGACAGCAATTTGTGAAATTAATTCAAGTATCTTTTTAAACTTTTATAATTAATATTATTAATTGAAGATCGGAATGGATATGGATATTTAATGCAAAATAAAATAATTCATTCTTAAAAAAAAAAAAAAACTTAGGTAGCATCCCAAATTACATTTGCGAAACTCGCCATACTATGAAATCTTGATTACGTCGTCAGTCGTCATTCCTTACAAATAGATCGTTGATGTATAGCTCAGTTGATTTCGATAATTTGCGATAACTCGCGTTTTCCTTCCCTTTCTGTAAGGCAGTGATAGTGTCGACGATAATTACCGGAAATTACAGTACTCGTATATTACCACAGGAATTTCCGCGCAGCATTTCATAATGGATCGCGAATTGCATTTCAGATCTTACGACGTATGATAGATCATAGATCCTTTGCAAAGGATCATCAATCGATCGACTCGCAGACTCATTCATTATTCTCCGATTGCATATTCACACATCTTAAGTTCTCGTTGCTCGTATTCTCTCCAAAGCAGTAACCACGTTCACTAATACATATTAAGGGAAACATTGTCTCGGCGCAACGAAAGAATACAAATTTTATCATCGTGACACGGTACGAAATATATTATATCTCCTATATGTATGAGGACTTTTCCGTAAAGACACACTTGCGTACTTTACAAGTCTTATGTATTTATTGTTGCGATGTGTAAATACCATAGATTGTAACAATATCATATTTAGAATTCGATATTATCAAACCTAATCTAATATGATTTTTTATTCGTTTGCGTATGTACATTAAAAATATCACGATATAATTTCATCAAAAATAAATTATGTGACACGCTTTTAATGTAATTTATTGATAAAATTACAGTCTGGGTTTCATGGGGTAATTCAATTTATACCATGTTTTCCGGGAGCTATAAAGCAAACGTTTAAATCAAGAGTGAGCATTTCTCGCGGCCATGAATTTTGGGCGCAGTGTAAATTTATGTATTTCTAGCCACGTGTATTTCTACCGCGGGTGGCAGAACTGCGCGAATTACGTATGGGTTTATGAATCTCAAACTACGCATAGAATCTTCTCGAGGGTTTCCGGAATCCATGAATCCATGAATTCTCAAAGTATAGGGCTTTGCCCGTCTGCCAATGTCCTCCGTTGAGAGAATGCGAGCAACCAGCATTGACGAATAAATCTCTCTCTCTCTCTCTCTCTCTCTCTCTCTCTCTCTTTCTTTTTTCTTTCTACATATCTATTTATCTTTACCTTTATCTACTAATACTATGACTGATTTTTTTGACGAAGGTAGACCGTAGCGCGCGAAATGGGTCGGAGGTGCAAAATGGATGCGCTTTATTCTTGCGACGATTTTTTTCGGCGCTTCTACTCAATTTGATAATAGAATAGGATTCGAGTGATAAATGATACATCACGCACACACGAGTTTTCGGATGTACACGAGACGTAATACACAATATACAATCGATAATTAGATCATGAGGGACGATCAGTTCGTGAGAGTTCCGGCTGAAATCGAATTTTACCTCGAAAAAAAAAACTTCGATAAAGAATATTTACTCAATTTATCTTAAAAGTTTATGTTTTAATGTATAAAAATAGAAAACTTTTTCTATTTTTAGAACTTTAGATAAAATATCCTATATATTATAATTATCTGAAAAATTTATCGCTTATTTTGCAATAATGCTCAATTTTTTTAAATAAAAATACTTTTATGATATTTTATTCCATTTATCATATTCCTATAACGATAAAGTTCAATTACAAGACAAGTTTTGATTATTAGCGAAAATAATCCGCAATAAAGATACGTTGTATTGTTGTTTAAGCCGAACCTGTTGTATGTTTCAATATTCTTTTATTCGGCATAAGAATGAAGTTCTTCATGCCAGGGCCGACGCGTTAATCCGGCTTGAAAATGCCGGATCTCCATACGAATCGTCGTCCCTCTCTTGGCATTCTGGCATGCTTTCGCTTTTCGATTCGCTAATTCGCGCGTTAACTATTCGTATATCGTTCTCTGACTCTCTCTTTTTGCTTATGCTTTTTATGCATTTATATCTCGCACGAATGCGTTTGCACATTATACGTGTCATACATGGCTTGAGTATTCGCACTAAATGCTCTGTCTTTTTTTGCCGAGTATTCTCATTCCAGCAATAATTTTAAAGAGGGAGACATTATCTCTTCCAAGCTATTGCAGCTAGATTTGAACTAATTTGTTTAGATATCGAAGATAGATGTTAGTATTAAAAGTAAAATAAGATGTAGATGTTTTTTTTCTTGCGATCAGATTAAAAAATAAATTTGGTTATTTCTCAAAATTTTAATTGTTTTAGGAATGTTAAATAAAGGTACGAATTTTCAAATAATTTTGTTTTCGGAAAATGTTGAATCAGAAAAGTGTAAAATGTCCTGATTCCGATAGCAATTTCAGTGAATCGATACACAGAGCCGGAGAGTCGCAAATATTCGTCGACTTTTATGTGATAAAAATACATGCAAAAGATAAGGATTCGTTATTGGTCAGACGACTATTACTGTACGAATTTCCGATCGATAACCTGGGAATAATTTCATTTTCATATCTCTAACAGTTCCACTGTTTTTTCTTCCGTATCAATTTGTCTTTTTTATTAACCCATATCGTCAAACGAACGGACGGACTGATTACATTTGATATATCTTGAGAATCGCGCTTATTTAATTTTTTAAATATTAAAAATTAAATTAATCGCTTCCATACATCGTTTTATATGTATGGAATAAGAGAAAGTTAAAGACACTAATTTATTAAATAGAAGCTTTTTATCTTCCAAAATGAATGTCTGTAAAAGTTCTTAGTAGTAAGCAATAAAAAGAGATTTATATAAGTTAGTCTTTATGTTCCATTAAATTCTTCTAAAATGAAGAAGTAATGCTTAGTATTGTCTTGCAAAACTTATCAACTTTTCCTTAGTCGGAAACGAAATCAAAGTTACTTTACACTTTTGTGCATTTTATCTCTTTCTTTCTTTTTAATTTCTTTCAATTTATGTGCGTTTAAAACAATTTCTATTACAAATTGAATGAAATTGTTCTGCAGCCCATATCACAATTTATTCTTCATGTCTTGAGCGTGTATTTTAACAACAAGACGATGTGATAGAAGTCGCTAGTTAAATACTTGTTTCTATATTGAATTGCATGTGTTTACACTCTGTCTTGCATTTTTTAATACTTTATTGGCTCATCCAAATCCTCGGAAAGTTTCCGAAGATTTTAGTACAAGGATACACATTTGCTGCCTCCACATAAGATATCTATTTGTAAGTGACGCTTTCGTCAAGCACAGTTTGTATGTATCTATAGAATTCTGAAGGTATGATTCCATTAGATAAACGAAGTGGGATTATACTCGTTCCAATATTAGGAAGATAAATTGACGCATCGATACAAGTCACATGAATGAAAACAGTTTATCACAGCATGAACGCATTCACTCCAATGTTTGACTTTTGCGTTGAGTCTTTTTCTGTCTGTTTGTCTTGTCTGATTCGCTCTGTCTTCCTTTGGAATGGTTATTTCCATCATATCCAATCCAGCGCACAATCCGATTATATGTACATTTATCTTGATCCTCAACGCTCTTTAGCTATTTGACTACCATTTTTGTTCATAAATTTGTTCTACTCACTACTTTATTTTAGTTTTTCTTAAGAATCCCTATAATACGTATTTGTAAAGTACGGCAAACACTTATTTTAATTCTGCATGTTGAAAACATGAATAATTAATTATTTATTTATATAGTAATATTAAGGATAAATTTTACAATTGGTAACTAGGCTAAAATAATTAACGAATACAAATTAGAGTCGCACTTGTTAAGGCCAGAATTTGGAAGGAACATGAAATATCTGATTGTGAAGAACCGTAAACAATATGATATTCGAAACATATAGAATTTCTTTCACATTTTATATCGTATATAAGTAAAAAATATATATGTATAACATATATAAATATATACACGCGAGTTTCTTCTTTATGCGAGAGATAATGTATATTCTCTTTTGTAAACTCAAAGGTTACGTATAAAAACGCAAGGTATGAAATTGAATTACGAAAGATGTAGAAAAAAAGATTGTACATAATCACATCGAAACGAAAATATATCGTTCGATCGACAATATAGAAATGTAAAATGATTAAAAAATCGGTAATTACTCGTTACTACAACGTCAATTGTACTGGACGAATGACTGATGAATTTGATTTTATTTCAATATGCACAAATTAACAATACATATTACAGCAGTAGTAACTTGATTGCATTTTTTTTCAATAAAAGTTCATAGAAAGAGAAGATATTTGCTTAGTTTGTTTATCTCTATTTTTTTTAAGCGATAAGCTAGTTTCAGATTAACATTTGGCATCAAGCGAATTTGCCCTTTTTAACTGTCGCATTAAGAAGAGCTCTCGACGTTCCTTTCAAACTCGAGCTTTGTATTAGCTATGTCATGGAGCACATTTAAAATGGAGAAACGCTCTCAAGATCGTTTCGAGGTACACATCAAGCAATGCGGATCTAAATAAATACTCGAAATAAATACTCCTTCTAATCCATATCCTCATTTCAAGATCATTCCATTTTATGTGTATTCTCTATAATCTCGCTTTTTATCTTTTTTTCTCTTATTCCTATCTTATAGTCTTTGATACTACTTTTGTTTTACTATCTCTTCCTCTCGTCATTTTTCTTTCGTTTTCACTTTCCCAATGTCGATTTACTGAAACGCTCTGCGCACTCCAGGTCGAAGCATTATCACGAAGAAGGGTGATGGCTCTCAAGTGAAGGAATCCACCGACAGCAGCACAACGATCGAAGACGATGATGTTAAAGGTAGGAGATCCCCATCCTTTTTATGTCTCTCTCTCTCTTTTTTTTTCATAATTACAAAACGCGTTGAATTTTTTTAACAGTGATTATTATAACGAACCAATTGTAGGCTATCAGTGCGAAGATGAGTGCTTAAAACGGTTGTTAAATCTTTACGATTACGATTATAAGCACGAGGTATAGATAGAATGGGATAGCTTATCATATCGTATAAATATTCGAAATCTTTTTACACGGATATTTATCGACTTTTATACCCAAAACACGCGAATAGTTTCTCATATATGATATCGCCAACGACATTTCGGTAAGAAATCATTCGTGCAATTTCATTGTCGTAACGAGCACTTGTTTAAAGCCGGTTGGAATCTAGCTATTAAAACAGGACGCCGTTGTGCTCGAAAGCTTGGATTGAATTATGATAGCGATTCCGTCGCCATCGCGGCGGTATTGTCGTCACGCGAGCAGAATAATCGGTGATAGTCCCAATAACAATGGCCCGATGTACAAGTTCTTAGTTCCCGGCAGTGATTCACAGCATATATCTCTTTACTGCGTGCTCGTTATGAGAATTTAATGAGAAACTTGACTACAGGCGGAGAAACTGCAGCTTGGTGTTCGCGACTTATCGTATAGTACCATGTAATATAAAGATCAACATTGCTCTTAAATTCGATGATATAGCTATTTGAAGATCTCATTTCTATCTGTCGAGCTTTGTTGTACTCAAAGATCAAGTTGGATTTTGTGTGAAAATTTTATATTTCATTATTTATATTTAATTTGAATAGTATTATCTTGTGAAATTTAATTGAAAATAAAATTTAATTGAATTTCATCGGCTGATCTCAATAACTGTAACTGTTAAAGATACGTATGGCTGTCTGGGATGTTACAGAAAGGATATTCGACCTAATTAAATCACTTATTTTTCTGATCTTTTTTTTTTTCATTTGATGCAATGTCACGCATTAATGCCACACTTATCGCAGTTACTGCGAGAAATTAATTTACATGGACGTTCTTATATATTGCGCATAAAAGTAAAGAGCACGGGCGCGTATCGATCCCTCATTACAGATACTCCTCTCGTTCTCACGTGCAAGTCGATCGTTGGCTACGATAGCTCGAGTAGTTAAATATCCACTCGTTGCTTATCCTCTGGCTTATCCCTTTTCCACCCTGCGTACACCTGTGCTCCGATTATTGATACACTTGCGGTTATGCCGCAAAGGTAAACCTATCGTGGAAAGGTTTAGGAACATCAATTGGTTCAGATGGTTTAAACTTATTTTTATTTGAAACAAAAGTTGATATAGTTAAATTAGGAGAAATAAATGTAAATACTTGTAGATACTTGATTATACGTGAGAAAACGGTTGAGAAGATTTAGTTATAATGTTTTATAAAGTGTGTGTTTGTGTCGGATTTTCGTTGAATGCTTTTCAAACCGATATGATTTAATTTTATTGGCACAATATCATTTCTGTGTGTGCTGATTCCTTTATTTATTATATACCGTAAGAGGTGTACTCTCGGTCGCAGATCCTAAAGTTTGCCCCTTCCTCCTGGTCCATAGAAAAATCGATCTCGCCTTGATCTTTCTCTTTGCCTCTGTAGATACTTTTGATTATACACTTGTCGATCGATCTCTTTCGTGTTTTATTTGTCTTCCGTCTGTCCGCGTTCGATCGCACGTGTACGTTCTTCAAAGTTCACCGAAGATATCCATACACAGCGAAAAGCAAGACAGTCAGTATATAAATATAAGAAATTTGATTTGGGATATTTCTATAAAATTTACGCACACACACACACACACACACAGAAACCTTTATTTAAATTGTATTTCAATCAGAGTATCTAATGTTAATAGTTTCATTAAACTTTATCGATTATGTTGCGATTATGTTACTGTGTATTGCTTTTCCTTATAAGAGTATCATACTGACACGATATACAATTGACACTTGTCAGTGTGTGTATTGTTTGAAATTTATAAATAGTCGTATCTAGTAGTAAACATTAGCGCGAAATATATTAAACGTATTTTATATACCCTCATCGATCTAATATATGTAGGTATTGTTGAGTCTACCTCGTTTCTACATTATCATCTTCGAATCTGTCTTCTCGTACGAGCTGTCTTTCAAGTTCCTGACTAACTCTGGTAGTCGATGTTTCTCGCAACTTCTCTATCGTGTGTGCGATGATGCCCTCTCTGTTCTGACACACTTTCTGACACAAACACGCGTACGCAAAACATGTGACAGTGCATCCCAAAGCTATCTTCTCTCACTTTGCGAATACAATTCGTGGTACGCAAGTCAGGTGTAATCGATGGTTATCAAAATATGCTTTATAACGCGAATGTCGTTATGCTGCATGTTCACGAGAAATCATAATGTATCGTATAGGCTACAGCTCGTTAAAATGAAAGGAAGTATTTAATTAGCGCGGAATGTCAGAGGTATGTAAGATCTGCGCGTTTTAACACGCGTTCTTCATATTTTTTTCAATTGTAATGTTATGTCTGCAAATTTGAATTCGCGTTATTTTATTCGAAAATTTCGACGTATCTTTATTTCGATTTAATACTCATATCGTGTCGCTATCGATCAGATCTCATTCTTTTCTTTCGCGTATCCGAAGAAATATATATTTGTCAGATTTCTCCCGTTCCTACATTCTTTAGCAAAGTAGAATACCTTTAAGAGATTTTGATAGAAACACAGGATTGTACTCTCGAGACACATTCGCCCGTTTTGTATTTTATTGGCATACAACGATCAAACACATTTAACAAACGAATTAATAAATGTTGATTTACGCGAATAACCAATTTAAGAGTATTGCATTTAAAAAATTTGAAAATTTTTTTTACATTGAAAAAATATGTATTTCGAAATTGAATATTTTGCATCTATGTATACAGTGGTAGTTTCCAGCTCACTGTTAGCTGCGGTTTCAAAACAATGTGAATAAATAAATGATAGTCCATTATTACTCGTAGATTATTAGATTACAACTGTAACAATATTTCGACGAATAAATGAAATTTTGTGTTTTTGCATATAGGGTGAGAAAGTACAATCCAAATTATCTTTGCATGAATCTGTATCTCCTCTCCTGCGTCACAGCATATAATTTGCCGGATATCCAAGAACAACGTTCGCTTTTGAATTTTAAAACATTCTACACGCGACATGAAAAAACTCATTCCTCATCCCCATCAGCGTCACGCGAATTCATATTTCTTATTAATTAACGTGTTATTACGTTAATATTTACGGAGGGCTATGATAAATAATTAATTGATAGGTATTTACTTACTCGCGGGACTCTCTCCTCTTTATTCATGTACAAAGATACTGGTTTTACAATTTTTAGAATTTTGCTGGACATCTATATTATGCATCTAACAAATGCAATTTTGAATGCACTTTGCATATACAAACTCGCGTGACCCTGTATTTTATGCGCGGCTGATGGTGTTGAAATATATTCGCCAAAACAAACTAAAACAAGAGTGAATCGATGCCCATCTGTTTTCCATGCTTTCATTCGAACACACGTATACACGTATATACACGTATACACGTCAAATCCGCACAAATCAGGTGGCTCTGTACTTGTTGTCTGTCTCCCATAACAGACACCGTAAAGGCAAAGCACCAAGTATATATACAGCTGTGTGAGAGAAGTGATAACACTGTTGTTTTGTGCCCCAAATAGCCGATGCTCACAAATCCATAACACACGTAGACGAATGACGTGCGCACGCGTATTATAACAGCAAATGAAAGAATGCACCGTATATTATTAGATTACAAACACCATAGACCGAGCGCAATTCTCTTCAAGACACGTTCATCATATCATTCGATTGCGAAAATGTGATCATTGCGATTGCATTCGTTCACTTACACGCACGGGTTACCGGACGTTACTGACGCTTAGCTTCCATCCAGAATCAACTGGAAAATCAAGATTGAAGAACGCTCACGCGCGTAATATTTTACGCGTAAAATATTTTTTATTTATTTATTTTTTTCTTTTTCCGAAAAGTAAAGTAGACGATGAATAAAACACGAGTAATATATCAACGCTTTAATATAAACGTATCGTGTAACTCGTACACGTGGAACCATTGATCAACATTTAATTATTTAACATCTCAAACATGGCGTACATCGTCTGGTAATCTCGCTCGTTTTTCCACTTAATGAAATAAAAACGGTCGATATTTCGAGGATCTGTGTAACAAGGGCGACGGTAAAAAAGAAAGTAAATGAAATTATTAATCGATTAATCATTTTTCATTATATCATAATATGTTCCAAGAGAAACATTACACATATATACTGTTCCTATGTAGATTACAATATAAGTTGTAATGAAAATATACACAACGTTTGAGCAATTGGATATAATGCGTTATTCCAAGAAAAAGAAATGGTGAAGGCGTAAGTTGCTCTGGTTTACAGCAGATCCCGATTCTTCGCATTTACACAAGTATAAAGTCGGGCCTAAAGTTCACTGATTTCGTGTCACTCACGCATCGGCTTCGTTACGCGCTTTTGTTATACGTCTCGTGATTATTCTTTTCTCGCCTCTACACCTTCTTTTCGGGAATAATTGATCACTGGCAATTTACGCGTGTGCAACCTGAATTAATTTATTTATAGGTGTATGTAAAAAATATCGCGAAGTAAAAAAATCTACCACTATCTGCAACCACCATTGTCATAAGTTCTCTTGTTAACGCAATGCATCTTTTTTTAGCGATTACCGCACAGGCGACCATTTTTAACAACGTAAGATGAACAGGCTCGATTATAATTAGACAACGCTTTCTCGTGATACAATCTAGTACAAAGAGATAATTGACGATTATGCAATTCAGTAGATGTAGTATTGTAAATTTTAACGCGCGTTTCTCTTTCTCACTTGTATTCTGGTCGTACATGTAGTATATTGAAGAAAATGAATTCGTAGACTAGTCCAAGTAGCGATAGCTGCGACAAATTAATCCTGAACGGCTAAGTCTGTTTACCACGATGTTTCCTTTGCATTAATCTTATTCGAGTCTTATTCCAATTTTGCTACATAAAACACTCAGATGAGCATAATTACAGGGAAACAAAGAGACAATTCGCGTAATAGCCTTTCAAGATTAATATTACAAGTAGTAATAGTAATACTTCAGCGTGTGTTAAGCCTCGGTAAACGAATTATAAGCATACAATTAATTATTAAAAACAGTTTTATTCTTATATTCTTATTATTATTATTAATATAATGTGAACGCTAATTTCATGTGAACGTATAGAGGATTTCTTTACAATTTAGACGAGCTGAAAGGGTTATAATTTCTTATAACGTAAGTCTACTACGCGTAATTATACGGTGTATATTGTCACTCGGTATTATCACACATACTTTTCTCGTAATTATCTCGATGTTTATCTCTCTATTCTCTTCTATTTTTATTCATTCTCGTTCATGTTAATTTTTTAACAGCCGGTGACCACGAATCGCTCCGGCTCACGCTGCTTTCGCTTGCATTTTCTTTTTCAGCATATTCACCTTTTATCTTATTTAGAACCGCAATTAGCATAGGAAAACTCTTAACTTTCCCGCTGTTATATTTTCTCACGGTTTATAATTATGCTTTAATTATCGAACGAAGGACGCTCGTTTTCGATTCGCTTCTCAGGCTGTAAGAATTATTTTATTCTACGAGTAATTTAGAAATTTGCAAATAACGAATCGGCTACAACCGGTTTCATTTATCGTTTATTTCGATATTATAAATTCATCCGATGGTATTCAACACATTAGCAGCGTAAGAGGAAAAAATTCGATTGTGTGAAAACTTTTGGAGCTTTTTAGGTAACATGTCACAATCATCACTTCCGCACGTTTATTAGATCTCATCTGGCATATTTGTGTTTCCTTATGCCCGCACACATACACGTACATACGCCTCCTTGATGTTATATATATCTATATATATATTTTTTTTATATTTCTCCTTTTTTGCTGCCACATTATTGGATTTTATGTATTGTAACTCTTTGATTAATTGGCTTTAATTTCGTCTCTTGGTTTTATTGTGTGAACCAGAGCGATAGAACAAGAACGTGACGAACCAACTATTTATTGTCAATAAAGAGAAAGCTGAAATGAATTTTATTGTTTGGATGCCGCGCGATTGTAAATGGAGAAAAAAAATCATTGTTAGATGGAACGTATATGTACAGCCATTGAGTTTGCCTAAATATTTCTTAATTTAAAAAATTTGCAGTGAGAAACACAGCCAAAAATTTACGTGGCAGTGACAATTATCACAGATACAAAAATTGTCGTCATTTTAATGTGGATCATTATTTTAACGAACTCTACAGAGGAAAAAGTATAATCGAGTGTTTCATATCGAATGGAATTATGCAAACCATTGAACAAATGAGTAGAAAGATTTACCAATGATAAAATTATTGATTTTATCGTTAAAATTTAACATATTGCATGATTTTATTATATTCAAAAGCTCGGATTATTCTATTACGATATTATCTGTTACAATTTAAAGAATTCCATTCCGTTGAATGATTGATATTATTTATGTAAATTGACCACTCGGATTGCATCGTTTGTAGTTACAGCAAAACTAATCATACAGATCAGTATAAAATTAATTCTGGACGATCCAATAGCAAATAACGGAGTAAATAACAGAATTTCCGGAATTCCATCCGATTATCACTTTATGTACTTTTCTCTATGTGACTCTTCCACGTATACCGTTTGAGAAATGCGATCGTGCTCTCTGCGATCGTGTTTTTAAACGATCTTTTTACCTTCTTCAAACTCCTCAAATTATAACACGCCCTTATCTATACTTAGGTCATTATATTACTATATCAAACTTAAAATCACACATACGTATGTATAAACGCGCGCATATTTACACATATGTACATACATACACGCAAATACAACACACACACACACGCACGCACACCTACACCCACACATACACGCACGCACGCACGCACGAACGCGCACGCAACAAATACACATACCACGTAACACGCTCTCTGTCGTCGTCACAAATCTCGACTCTCGATGTTTAGCCCAGTGTTATGGATTTATGAACACCAGTTATACTTTTGTCTTCTTTTTCCCCCTGGCGCTTGTCTCACTATTCCTGTCTTTTCGCTTTTGCCTCATTCTTTCTCTCCCACCCTTTCGTCACTTGCTTTGTCCGCTTGGTCCGCCGACTGAACCATTCATCCACGCAACAACCAACTCGGAATTGATTCCATTCACTTCCTTCACTTGGTTGCTTTTTTATGTGTTGATCCGATTTCTCGCATGTTTTCCGCCTATCGCACGCTTGCTCGCCATCGTACGGCTTTTTACAAAGTCTCGAATCGAATATCAAGATTACAATGATATTAGGGAGGGGAAGAGAGAGGAATCACAATTTAATGTTATAGGAAATTTTTTAAATATAATTTTTATTACAGATTAAATAATTCGACGTATTTATCAATTTGTTTTTTTTTTTATATTAGTGAGACAAAATATGATTACACATCAAGAACATTTAGCAGATTATTACGTTTGAAAAATTACGAAGAAACGTAAAATTGGATTTACATTGAGGAAATAAAACGATTGATTTATATATCATATCATCTTATTTCCCGAGCTTAAAAATTTTAATTTAAAATTTAAAATTTTATTTAAATTTAAAATTTTATGGATATGAATAATTTAAAACGTAGAATATTTTATATACTTGTAAAATCTTATTAGTAAATTTTTATAATAACTAGTAATTCTATCTAGTAATTCTATTATAGTATTTCCAGTAATTCTTTGCTAAATAATTGATCAAATATCGCGACCGAAGCATTGAAACCGTACGATCGGCTCGATCTGCACGCATTTTACAATTTCTTTTTTTACTTCCCTACTACTCGAGATACGATCGATACGTGTTTTTATCGACGTGTGCACGTTCTTAATGCAAAGTGTACTCTCCAGCACTATCCCGATTATCAATCGATTGTATTCCGATCTTTTTTTCTATTTGACGACCGTTCTTTTTTATATACATATAGTTCGATGGTAACGGCACCACTCGTCTTCATAGTTCCCATAAATGAAAAGAAGAAAGAAAAAGAGAATATTTTAATTATGATACGATCGTTATACATTTTCGTCGGTCACAAACGATACTCTATTTCGTTACGCCTTCGTCGTCATTATATTAAGCATCATCACTTAATTATGATAACGAATGTTTTTATTAGTAGTCGTGGCATTATACAAAAGAAATCGATTGCCGTTAATTTGCACGGTTAATATAGTCGGCGCAAAGTAATGACCTCTTCCTTTATACGAGATAATTTTTCTTGTCATTACACGATAATTTTTAAATTATTAAATAGTAGATAATTGTATAGGTAATAAAAGCACGATGATATTATCGTAGATCTTGCTATTGCTTATGAGAAATGGTTAACATAGCAAAAATGTCACGGGGGTGTAACGATTTATTCTTTACTTTTGTATGGACGCTTTGAGGTTTAAAATGTCCAGCTGAAAATATCTACATGGAAATTTTGTACAAAGACATAAAAGCATATTACTGAGAGTTTGGTAAACTCAAGTAGAAATCCTTTTGCAATCGTCTCTTGACAATTCTTTACTGAGAGCGTTGCTCCTTTGTCGAAGAAATTTTGTATTTTATGTTTTTATAATCGACGATGAGAAAAAAAGATTCAGATTTATTATTACTCTACACTGAATGTCTGTTTTGTATATATAATATATATATAATTATTGTGCTATTAAATGGCAATATTTTACATTTATTTATTAATTACGTCGTTTCATATATCTGTTTGTGTTGTTTAGTAATAATTATTTATTATTAATAATGTCGAATACACGATGAAAAATGAATGCTAATATCGTGGAATTTGGCCATTTACCACTACGTAAGAATCTAAGTTTAATTGGTGCAATTGTCAAAGAAGACCCTTCATTTTGCCATAAAGCGAATACGTGGCAGAAAAATAAAGCTAATTTTTGTGTATCACTTCTAAATTTATAAATCTATTATCACATCTATTACTGTTTGTATATCTTATATTTACTTATATAATGATTGATTTATTTTCCCATTTTATTCATCGAATATTTCTATTATAATTCATTAATATCAATTATCAAATAAATTTTTTCTTTCTTAGCATTGTTTCAAGCAGAAAAAGTTATATACTTTTGCGTGTGATATGCTAACTAGAAAAAGAAGTGATTCACATTTGTGAAGTTAATAATAAAATTTTTGTAACATTTGTTTGTTTTTAAGCTTCACTCTTCTACAATGTACTTTCTTTTGATAAGAAAGTGACATTTATAATTTATATGTCAGTGTATTAGATAAATCGAGGGAAAAATAAGCTTTAGCTTCTCATCATGCGACGTGGCTTTATCGATATTCCATATAAATATCTTAAGCGTTATGTAATGATATAAATTGTTGGTATATTTTTCGTATATCGTATACGTGATGTATGTGTGTATGTTGTACAGAGGATAAGAAGGGCGGCGTCGACCGGAGCAGCACGGTCATTGCCAAAGAACCCGAAGGTAAAACCATTTTCGAGACGAGATATATATACGTATAACGTATCTATTGTGCATTACTTTGTAAACGTCGCGCGATTGCACTGGTCTCTCCCATCCGCGCTTAATTGATTTGTGATTTTACGATACTATAATTATCATTGTAATCTTATTACACATACATATAATGTTCGCGTAATGTTTTCGTTTATATAATATTGAAGAACATTTTTTTATCATGTTCTTGTCAAGACAAACGCAATTGTATATTATGACGCATCGGGGACGAATGTTTCTTTTTCTAGATAAAATTCGTACTCTCGTAATATATTTCGTGCATTATCAAACCCATACGGCATTTTGTCCAAGCGAACATGTGGAAAGATAATCCTACTTTGTCGCAGCTGACATGTTTCTGAGTAATAATCGATAAAGTCGTATACGCGTAAGTTCAAAGTGAGCAAAATGAAAATTATCTTTGTTTTGCTGATAGGCGGATTGTTCTTGTTTACACAAATTTTTGTTTAATTCAAAGTGATATTAAGGGACTATGTTTAATTTTATTTCAAGCCATCTAACTGTTGTTGCGGCAATTATTAATTAATAAATTTTATATTTATACTTACTTATTGACGCAATTGATTAACATATTTGTATCATATTATACTTGAAATACTCTACGCAAGATATAACAGAATTTTTTATTTATTTCAACATGTACATTTTTTATATTTGTGCAATCACAAGCGCGACTTGTAAGAAATATACTTTGCAAGTATATTTACATCAAACTAATTGCATACCAAATTTTTAAAAATTATGTGTTAAGGAATTAACGCGACTGTACCGAGATTTTTTTAATCGAAGCGGCTTAATTCAAATGGTGTGAACTCTTGAAGGTGCACAATATCGCAAATCTTTAATCGCGTTAATAAAGAGGAATTTATGAAAGAGCATTTCATTTCTTCTGCGTCTGAAAACAGAAACGATCGGTTTCAGTTTCCAGGGCGTTCATAAATCGACCACGATGCGTCAAATTAATATCTCAATATAATATCCACAATTAGCCGCGAGATATTGACAGAGGAAGGATAATTAAAGTATCATCACGGTTGGGAGAGGGCCAATTTCATGAGAGGCTCCGTGTCCAGTTTCGAGCCCGAGCTTTTGCACCCTTTCTGTTGCCGCTTTTGCGAAATTGTACGGCGGATTTACCGTCTCTCCTTTCGTCTCGTCAACTAACATTCTGATAACTTGGTCTCTTTTTTGCTTTCTTTTTCCTCTTATGTACGTGTGAGTTCCCCTTCTAATCAATTTAAAATTAATCCCGTAATCTTAACTGAGGATCCTCCTGAGCCTTCTCTCGATACGCTTCACAACAGCGAAATTCATAGCATCTCATTGTTAATGCGAGTGTAGTTAGAGATTATATTGTTTGATAAATCATTGTGATTGACATTGATCAAACTGATCATCGAATCCTACGAAATGTGTTACGTGCAGAACGACGTATCCTTTGAAACAGTTTATTTAAATGTCTGTGTCTAATTGGATCGTGATGCGGCAATTAATTTATTAATTCCGGTGTTCCACACATATTACTACTACTAATTTCAATTACTAACTCTCTTAATTTCTTTCTTGCTTATAATCAAAAGAATATAAATTATAAAGCAAGGAAAGATCCCTTCGGAAAAAAGAGAATATAAAAATATACGTAATATTTTTTACTTTACCTATAATTATTCTTACATCTCTGTAGTTATAAATTACATATATTTAAATTTGATCGTTTTTCTTCTTTTATTGGAGAATCTTATCTATAAAAAAAAAGCGCGTAAACAAGTTGTATCATTGATATTTATAATCGCAATTAAATAGAATAGAAATAAAAATTCAGATAATTAACTAAAATAAAAACTAGATAAGTATAATAAAATAATCAGCTAGTATTAACAATAATTGTCGATGTTTTACGAGCATATAAATGTATATAATGAAGTCTTTGCCGCCAAATTAGTTACAACTATGTCATAATGAGAGCGGCATGAAGGCGGCGCTACAGTGCACAGTGGTAATTAACTCGAAAGTTATAATTAACTCGATTTATAATTCAAACTAACTAACGCAGGGAGTTTACTCAAGTGTAAGCTCAACGAGGATAGTTTAAGCCTATGGAAAATTAACCACGCAGTAAATACAAAGCTGAGCTTGATCCGTAAATCGCTGCAATGATAATTATCATCTTATTTCCATCAATACGCAATAATTAATATTTCACACGTCTACTTCGATCAATAATATAAGAAAAAATACGTGAGCAATTCGTTATTAGCGTAGATACTATTTCCAGAATGTAATATACATATCTTGATTTCTCTGCATTTGAAAATTTACACTGCATTATGTAATCTTTTTCACATAATACGAGGCTGTTGTTTCGAAATTTCGTTTTCGTCGTCAAAGAACGCAAGAGAAATTTGGACTAATTACTAACGATGTACACATATACGCATTGTTTCTCATTTCTTTTGTCTAGTCGGCGAATTTCTCTACGGAAAGCGTCGCGATTTCACATTTCACTCCGCCTCGCGCGCTCTTCAGACGTACTGTCAACAAAAATACCTGGCCGCTTGGCATTACTTGAAAATAGATCGGCAGCGTTTCAAAACGTCGTTGTATGTACGTTCGACCCACCTCGCAAGTGAATTGAGTCACTCGACAAGCTCAACAAGCTTGCCTCTGTCGATTTTGAGTGTCAATTATTTCACAAATTTTCTCGGTGTTAACAAAGGGATTTACTTTCGTCTCCTTGCAAAACAATAATTTTTGCATTTGATATTGTGCCACTATTACGACAACATTGTGTGCCGTTTGCGTGTAATTTAATTGTGGAAAATTATCGCGCAGAACATAATCGTGATGGCTAATACCATACCCAGCTCGTCCAAATACACAGAGAATTACGGTGAGTTTCTGGAGGGTTCTGTTCTTCCTTGTAATTTCGTTACATACGTGTATATTTTTGTTCATCTCGCACAATTATATTTTACTCTTATATTAGCTGGTTTGTTTAATTCAGGGAATTGACAGTAAAAATACTTCTCGATGAATTTTTTCTTTAAAATTTAATTTGGAATAATTTAGTAAAAATAGCGACTTTTGTAAGTATACTGTTTATTTCTTAGAACAAAGATCGAACTTAATTTTACTATAATTACAATAATTTTTCACGATGTGACCCTGAACTTCTTTAGTATATTTTGAGCTCGTTTTGCGGATTATGTTTATCAATCTTTCATCAATTAAATATTAAATTGATTTCTGTTTGGAAACATGTATCGATTTGAAAGAGATTTAACTTCAAATATCTTTGTATCCTTGAATTAAACTTTTGTCAAAGTCATCTTAAAAATAAATTTATCTTCAAATTTAAATCTTGAATAATTGATTCTTTAGCAACTACATAATTAAGAAAAAGTCTATTCTGAATAGTTAAAGAATTTATTAACAAAATACGAGAATCTTATGCGGAAATGTTTTGTATACCAATCGTTACTGTTCCATATTAATTGCAAACTGCCTGTAACAATATCTTATGCAAAATGAACTTTTATTGTGGCTAAACGCTACACATAGTTGGATTATATACATGCACGATTACATATACAAATGCGCGTCTAGGTTTCTATTTCAAGAATAAATTTTGTCTATAGGACGCATGAGCAAAAATTCGCGTGGGATTGTTCTTATTCCATTTGTACAAGATCATGGCTGTACGCAAATAATTGACGCCGTTTATTTTTCTCTTACTCTCTTTCTCTCTCTTTTTTCCCTGTAATCTATGACACGCAATGATCCCGATATGAGATTAAAATTTCTTCTTTAATTCTTTGAACAAATGTTTATAACTAATTCTGCTAATATTTCCCTATTTCACCAATTCTATGTTTCTGTCTGGTTCTGAAATTTCTCGGGAACTAGTTCTAGCATATGTTTGCCAGACTAATGTTGCTCAATAATGCTACATATTAACCTGCTTACAATTAACACAAATTAGCTCGATAATAATAACATTATATAACTTGATCCAATTAGTGGAGTGTGGCTTCGTGACTTCACATTGTTTCGAACGCGCCCTTTGTAATAACTGATTGATACTCAAGATTTCTTTCTTCGCGTATTATTCTTGGTATCATCAAGATTCAAATAATTCGTAGATGGCGCGTTGCGACAACAGTCGCTTTGCAGAATTTGCTTCTTGCCTTTTGCGCTTTATGATCATATACGTTTTTCACCCGTGTTGTTACTGATTGGTGCTCCCTCAAAAAAAATCTCCCTCCAAAACAAAAGCTCTTGGCTCGTCCCATCAAGGTACACCTCCGAGCAGCCCCGCGACAATGTCCGCGTTCTCCAGGATGGTCGGCGCGGCCACAACCATGGCGAACAAACAGGCCCCGAATCAGAACCAGACCCAGATTCAGGCCCAGGCCCAGATTCAGAATACGGGCAACCCCCTCGGAATTGCCGCGGTTCTTCTTCAAGGGGCCCAAGGTAAATTCAGGATTTTGATTTGATGTTGCAATGAAATGCAGGGTAAACCGGGTCTTCGTATCTTACTTTTTAATCCTTTGCGGCTCTACACTGTGTTAAGGAATTTTTTTAAAATTATATTCTCGAGATAAAAATTTTGGGACGATTGCGTGTTTAAACTTTATGAATAATAGTATTTATAGAATGTAAATTATTTTTGAAGTCTATGAATTTAAAGACAAATCTCTCTCGATATCTTCGAATCTCACTATATGCTTATAGATTTCAAAGTTAGTGAAATTATTCTTAAATGCACTGAAAGAAAAGTATAGCGGTAAGAATCGTTCGCTGATAAGTAAATAACCTTTTATTCAGCCACGAAAATGTCGAATTTGTCTAGTTTTTATTACGATTGTTATTGATTACGTCAGATGGAATGAAGAAAAGTAAAACATGGGATTGCAACGATGTTTTTGTTAAAAATATCGAATATTTGCCGTTGTTCTCGAAATATATTTGTTCGAAATGTTTTGCAACCGAAATGTGTTTCGGAGAGGTTATCGCAAATTCTAATGGTCTGATCTTCCGGATGCGAAACTTTTAAAAATTTATTATTTTTTTCATCTCAATATGGGAAAATGTTCTCCTGTTATATAAATCGTATACTTTTTGAATTTAATCTTTCAATCTCACGTGTGAAATAATGAACCGAGAGAATGGTGCTGTGCTTGAAGAGGTGACAATTAAGTCTGTTGAAATGCAAATAGCTTTAATCGAATTAAACTTGCCTTACATTTTTATAATTGAATTTATCAAATCGTGATCATTAGAGTAAGATATAGTCGTGACAGCTTTTTTGTTAACATCTCTTCATTCAAGAATTATTTCACCGCACAAAACTTTTGTCAGCCGACATTTTGTAGAATTTTTCAATGATCTATGTTTATACTCGATATCAAAGAATCACCTGCCGTATTGTGATCTGAATGAAAATGGAGAAAAAATTAGAGAATAAATATAATCAGAGAATAATATAAGTTTTATCTCAGGATTGTAGATTAAAAAAAGCGTTAATATGGGTGTGTTAATTACAAGTCGTATAACATCATATAAATCGAAAGTGTGATAGGTATTATTATCAATTGCTGCTTGCTCGAATTGTTTGACTTTTTAAATCATGGAAGCATATCTTTACAAAGTCATTCTACAGTTGTGTAATTGTCACTTGATGTCGTAGTCTCTCTCCCTCTCCCCCTCCCCCTCCTCTCTTCCTATCATCCCTCTCTTCTTCTTTCTTTCTCTCTTTCTCTCGTGTCGCAGGATGAGAAATAGGCACGTACACTGGAAGGAGATGCTAAAGCGCAACTAACAGCAGTCTGATCGACGAATCGGTAAGGTTACCCAAGCCGGATGACCCATTTCTGCTTCCATCCGCTTTATCGAGATTCTTTAGTAAAGAGCACACACGTATAGACACACATGTGTATGTGTGTGTACGTACATACATACATGTGTACGTATGCTGCTGTATAGCCGATGCATAGCAATAATCTGTTAAATGAGGACGAAGCAGAAATCGGTCTAGTCGTTTCTGCTTTAAAAAGCCGCAGCATGATTTGAAATTTATTATAACAAAATTTTTCTTATTACATGTATACTTACGTCACAAGAATCGTTACAATATATATATACTTTTAATTTTATCCAACAACTTGTTCGTTCTTTTCGCACTTGCCATACATTCACGTTACACGTTTACTCACGCACTCGTTTATTTTTTTTTTTAGACATTAGATAATATCCCCAACCGACGAGACCCTTCCGTAAGAGGCGCGACGGAAACGAGGGAAAAACGAACTTCCTCTTTATTGTCGTTTCTTTGTGCGCCTCTCCTCGATTTTTCCTTGACTGTTTACATACGTAGACAAAATATTGTCTGACGAATCGATTCATTCTCTCGATCGATTGGACGATCATTCGACGATTTCTCCTTACATTTCCCAAGTTTCACCTCTCTCCGTCAAACAAGACTCACACACAGTTATAAAATAGTATAAAATCAAATGATTTGCATTCGCTCTTCCGTCATGCTCTTCCGGCGATATCGATGACTTCCCTTGCTCCTCTGCTCTTTCGTCGGATCTTTATTATTTACGGATTCGAGCGTCGGGAATAGACGACGCGATGATCGATCGCGTTTTACACCATCTTGCTAGCCACGTTCGTTCCCGTTTAAGTTCTGCAAGTGGAATGGATCTGACAAGCAAGTAGAGAAATAGACAAACTGCAACGACATAAACGACATAAATAGTGACGTTGACACTAATATCAGTACATTAGATGCAACAAATTTGTCAAATAAAATGATTTTCCTTTCACAGTCGACTGTTATACACTTGCAATTGAAATTTTTTATTAATACATATCGTTGAAAGTATATTTTATTTATTACGCGTCACGCGCCTAATATTCTCCAACTACGATTTGCAATAATTTTTTATTATAAATTACAAAATTATTTGTTATACCGAAATAAATTATTTCTCTCTCCGTCCGTTTTGTTTTAAATTATTATGTAATTTAAATTATTATTCCATAAAAAGTTGTAAATCTTCTAGATAAGAATTCTGGGTTATAACTTAGTTAATTTAAAATTAAAAGATTCTAAACGATCTAAACCAAACGCTTTTAACAATCGACAATCTTAAAACGTAGCAAAACAATGAAAATGTTTTAAACGCGTGGAGATAGCCTGTGTATCGTGACTCGTTGTATTGATTGAATAAATGGAGAATCCGCGAAAGACGAGGAGCAATCGATCTAAAGAGCGTCGCCAGTGTAGAGAGAGCCGGACGCGCGATTACGCGATGTGACGAGACGCGAATACGACGCGAATACGACGCGACGTGCAATGGCTTCTTTGACGTTGACACTAGCTCGTGTTTGGTTGGTTGATTGCATGACTAGCTGGCAGCGCAGGAAGCGGTAGCAGCAGCGGTAGCAGCAACAACAGCCAGAACAGCCAAGTCGGCGCGTCACCATCCTCGCCGGCCAGTATCAGCCATCAGGCGAATGGTAGCAACGAGCCGATAGCATCGCGACGTCAGGATTCCTCGCCCACCGGTCTGTAGCACGATAATCTGGCACGTTTCCTTCTATCTTGATACTCTTCCCTTCTTCCTAGAGGGTGGAAACGGTCTCTTGTCTTAACTCGCTCTCGAGCGTCGCTGCATGCTATAGACAATTCTATTCAATCACTTATTTTTCATTATTATTATTGCATTAGTATATATCTATTGATGTTGCCTATCAAATTGTCAAAGCATCGATTTTTTCCGTTTATTTTTAATCCGCCGCGCCGTTCGGATTCCTTTCTCAATTCTTATTCAACTTTGTAAGATTGATTAACGATCGACGGTTAGTTGCTTCTTTTTATTCAATTCCTCGATCGATCAAGATTTACGTGAAGTCTTATACGGCTGTTATATAGATATTCGTCATAGGTTTGCACAGTTGCTGTAAATGGCGATAAGGTATAAACGCTGAGCGAAATCGGAGAATACGATCGCATAGGATATTTACGAGACGGGGCTCTAGACAGAAGTGTTACCCGAAAACCACACATTCATTTGCACCTCGTGCCGTCTATAAATAATCGGCATTAACGCTATGATTTATGGAAAACGATTCGGTTATGTTTTCTCTACGCTTACGAATAAAGCGAAATGAATGTGCAAAAATAATGGGATTAATTACAGCTATCGGCCCGTTTAGTCAACGAGCCCAATTTATGATCAATGCAATAAACAACGTTATAGTAAATAAACGCGAACACAAATATATTTCATAGGATCGATATAAACGAAAAGCTGTTAATTAATAAGTGAAATGCGCTCAGAAGTCATTTTTATCGTCGTGCTCCAATATCTTTTGTTTTTTCTAGTTTCCTTGCAACACACTGTAGGGATGGGCGGTGTACAAGAAAAGCATCGATTCTATAATAATCGATTATGATCTAATCCGATTTTTAATTAACCGATTCATCGTAGAAGAAAACATCGATGTTGGTAAAATTGATGATTTGAAGAAAAAACTGATTTTACTAAATTTTATTATTTTTTTATTATCAATTTTTAGAAATATATTGAATTATAATTTTTTTAATTATTTTTATCACAAAATAAAAGAAAAAATAGAGTACAATTTTATGTGTACCTACGAAAAACAATTTTTTAAATTATTTTTATAACAAAATAAAAGAAGAAATAGAATACAATTCTATGTACCTTCACAGAAAAAAAATTTACTTGTTTCAAGTAAACACATTTTCTTGAATTGTAATTCATTGATTGAAAGAATTAATTACTTGCCACAATAAATTTGTCTTTTGTTCCAATAAAATATTATCCTGAAGCAAATAATTTATCAATGAAGAAAATATTTTATTCTAGTAAAAACACAATTACTTGTCAGTAGAAAATTATTTTATTAAATCTAATAAATGTCATTACTTGAATCTGATTGTTGTTAATAAGAGAACATTTTTCTTAAATTTATGACACGAGTATTAGAAATCGTACATTGATTATTTTTTATAAAATATAATTTTTATTTCAGAAAGCAATTTCTTGGTTACCAAAAATATTTACTAGTAACGAGAAAATTGTTTCATAAATTAATTAAATGCCTGCTAGGGACTGCCTCTCTAGTCTCTAATAAATCTAGGACTCTAGGGTAGTTATATCTTTGGGTAGATCAATGAGAGCCAACCATAATCGATGTCATTAAAAAAAAGATCAATGTACCGATTAATCGAATTCTGAAACATTGAATCGAGCATCGATTATTGAGCGGAAAAACATCGATTTTTGTATAATCGATGAAGCATAGCCCATCCCTACAACACAGGTACATACTATACGCAAGTAACAATTACTTGTTTCAAGTATTTCAAAAATTTATATTTCCGCAAATCTATTATAAGTTTAACACAAACGTCAAATTTATTCAAAATATATTCTGAATGGTAAATTTAATACTTCAATCAAGATTATTAAATTAAAACAAATTTAATTTGTTTATTATATAAAGTCGCTTCTTCGATCAATTTTATAATATTCATCAGAAGTAAATAAATTCTTGTTTTTTTAGTAGAGATACATAATAATGAGTTTTCCTAAAATTTATGATGTGAGTACGTTTTAAGATCACTATCATGAAAATATTCTTTGTTAAAGATAATCGTTAAACTTAAAAGGAAGGAAACAAATTGAAGGACCACTTTTCTTATAGCGATAGAATGGATATTTTTTTGTGTGCAAAATTATTTTAAGTTTATTGTTAATAAAATCTCGCTACGTGTTGGAAGATAACGTTAAGGAATAGTAAACAAAAATTGTAACCGCACACGTGTTTCCATTTTCGTAATGGGCCGCTTGTTGGACATAAATAAATGTTAAACAGAAGATATCGACGACATGTATTCAATTCATATATAATGTATTTTTTTGCGAAGCTCGGGTTTTATTAACTAATAAAAAAAAAGAAGGAAAAAAGAATATAAAAATGTAATTCGAACGTACCGAGAAAATTTCCGAGCACCGTCAACGCACATAAATTTATGTTCTCCACCCTCTATCCTTCTTACTCGCAATCGAGACTTATCCTGATTACCATTGAGCCGATACCTCGCAAGCTCGATTTAATCTGACGGAGAACCTTCTCCCGTCTTCTGGGATATTATCAGACGGGGGACGTCACCTTGACCGCTATTATATCAATTAACTGTCTCCTGCGTGATCCAGACAATACGCATTGACATTAATGCGATTACCAATGTTGGTACTTGAATAGCGTGCTCGATGAGATTAATACACACAAACGTGCACAAAAGCGCAATTGATATTTTCGAATGCCGCATTATGAATAGCGAATTTAGGAAATGAAATTAGAGATTGCACTAAATCCCACAGAAGAGGTTGAAATATAAATGGATGATATTCTCATCGGATACAACATAATCCAAAACAATAAAATTCCAAAGAACGATTGTGGTCTGCAAGGATTTAGTATCACATTTGATTTATTCAAAATTCTCTTTGTTTAAATATATCTCTATTTAAATATCGTTTTTTTTTAATTATAAACTCCACATGTATACTTTATATCTTCACATCTCCAATTAATCAAAATTCCTTCAAATGCGATTATCGACAAAGCTTCGAGTTATCGGCACTCCTTTTCCGCGCGGACGGCATTGAGTTACCAATTTGTTTTTGTTTGTTTGTGTCTCTGTGTGTTTCTGCATGCTGCACGTGTTTCGCGTACCGCCTTATGATCGCGCACCCTTGTGTGCGCCTGCATGCACCTACTCCGCAAAAAAAAAAAAAAAACGTGCAGAACGGGAAGCACGACAGATGAGCGTTACCGACGGACACGCATCCCGGACCGGCTGCGTCCTCGACGAGGATCCCGAAGACGGTAAGAAAACCGTTAACGCCCGTAAGCTCGGGATAAATGCGAGGGAGAGGAACACGCAGCAACCACCATGTTGGAGCTCCACGTCTTGCAGTTTGCTTTAAAACTCGTGTAAACCACCTCGTGCTTCCTTTGAATATTTTCACAACGTATTAAAAAGAACAAAAGGAAGATTATTTAAATCGTATCGTAAACAGAAAGATTTTAAGATTAGAAGAATTTAGTAAAATTACGTGTTTAAATAAATAGAAAAAAATGTAGCAATAATTTTATTTTTTAATTAATAGGCTGTTGTTTTTATGAAACCTTTTACGTATGATTAGATAACTAATTTTTTAAGAGAAATAGAAATAAAATTTTATAAAATGTCTCTCTTGCCATCGCATTTATTAGATGCATTCAGTAGGCTACAATAAGTGCTCTCTGAGCGCTCAGTGAGCTCTTGCATCTGTTCGATTTAATATTTTTAGATTTAACGGAATATGCCAATTAGATGTAAGAGCTCACTGAACGCAGTGAACAGTTATAGTATTGAATGCCCTCATTGATTAAGTCAAAAGGCAATTTTTTCTACGTGGAGGGAATTCAATTTTTTCTCAATTTTTAATTTTTCGATTTCGTTGCATATGAGGTTTTACAACAACGAAAGTAATACGTAGGAATGCATCAGTTAAGAAAAACGGACATCTGACCTCTAAGAGTCTCAATGGAAATCCTGACGAGAAAATTAAGGGATAAAATTAATAGTTTAATTGTGTTTTACAGTAATTTTTTATTAATTCTTACAATTTCTACAATTTTTACAATTCTCATCTAATTGTATAAAATAAATTCAATCTGATTATCCGATCACGATGGATATCTATATTTCAGATTATCATTCATAATCATATTAATTACTAGATTGAATTTCCTTGATTATATTTTATATTATCCATCGTATGTTCAACGTAACACTGTCTCTGTGCATCGCAAGTAAATAGTAAGTAACTCAGACTGACTAAATCGTCTGCACATATGTATATTCTATCTACCTGATTTGATTGCCGTCGATTAGCTTCTCATATTTATCTTAGAGCAAATTTACATTACGCGAATTGTTTATTATCGGTCGAAATAAAATTTCACAATTGTAAGATCGATTTACATCACAATGGGGTTTTGATATTCACGTCGTTATTCACGAAAAATCATGTCGGCCGAATCTCTTGGTTTATTAAATCAATATACATTTTACGATATTTTTCATGTAAATTAAAAAAAATCCTTTTTTAAATATACGTTTGCTTCGATAATTGAAAAGTGTGAGATTCGCAGGTTCACATTTGTTTTTTAATAATGGACAATTTTGATGGATAATCTGAAGTAATGACTTTTAATAGGTAATAGGCGCACTATATATCACTAACGCGTAATATACATTATACATATATATACATGTATATAAAACAAGTTGGAAGCTAACTAACCCGATGCTCCAATGTTTGTTGGAGTTGAATCGCAGCAAATACTGACTCTAATCCGCGATCCGCAAATAACGTAGTTAAGATTCTCTGGGCGTATACGATCGAAGTCTCTTACCGATTCATCTCGATTTTGTAAATGTCTCGCGATTGTTTTTTATACAATTTGCGTTCGCATGCACGCTTACTGTTTTATCTGGATTCAATAGGAACATAGGAAATCATATGCTGAATCATAATAGAAGGGACAGGAGGATCCATTCGAATCCAAATGCCACATTGCATCTAAAATGAAAAATGACAAATATGGAAAGCATGTTTGCTAATATATGCACCATATATATATATGAAAATAATGCTGCCAACATCGACCATATTCAAACAAAATCTAACATAATGTAGCAAACTCGATTGGACGACGGAAACGGCAAACCAAGAGGAAGATAAGAAAATGGATAATGATGAGAACTCTCGGGGGAGACGGTTAATCCTTTTAGACGATACCGCACGTGAGGATTAAGCTAATAGCTTTTACATTTCGATAGAATTAAAAATTGAAAGATATTATTATGCTAGACCTCCGTGAACTTTCGTGCTTACATGTTATGCATGCTAATTATCATTTTCATTATTATAATCTTCAATAAACGTACTGGAATAAATTTCTCTTGTATATGAAATGAGTCACCGTATTACATACATGTACGTATCATATTACATTGATAAATTACGTTAATAAGCTTGGTTATACTCGTACATGTATATATGTATAGAGAGTTAACGAGATTCTCTGTGCGTTACTCGCAGAAACCGCGGATATTTAAAAACATGAAGCAGTTCAACATGGACGACGCTTAATCCTCTTCGTGTTTGTACAGCAGCTTGAGTATTGTCTTGAAAATATCCGTCTTGCCCATTTTTTAATACGAAAGGGATATATATATTGCTTATAGACATAAGAATCGTGTGTCCTATCAAGACCTGCAGCCAGCTTTCAACCAACTCCCAGTGCTCAGGTAAAGTGCGAAATTACGTCGTGTGTAAGCGACGAATCGACCAAGAAAAATCAAGTCGGAACGAATCGAGGAAGTACTCGTACTCTCTTCGACTTGTTAGTTTTATTGTTTAGGAGTTTATGAGAGAAAGTATGTTGCCAAAAAAAGGAGCTAAGATGCTGAATTGGACTTTAATTTTAATTAGTTTAAGAGTTTTAATATACAGCTTTTTATAGTATAACTAATTACAGGAATTACTTATACTGAATGAATTCTTATAAAGTGCTTTAGTTCTTCTTTAACGCAATGTGTTTTCTCTTTCCAGAAGCCTTACTGACTGATATCGCACGTTTTACAATATCAATACGAAATATGGCCGCACGTCATAATTCGTATAATATAATATATATAAATTATATTTTCTATAAAATCTATACGAAAGATTATCAAGTGGTAATAATTTATTAAATAATAACGCAATACAATCACTCTTGCGAGAAACATTATTTCTCGGAATTTTATTACGAAGAAAACTTGTTCTTAAAATCCCGATCGATCTTTTAGATCTCGTATATTGTGTCGAGGATAATATTGAAAAAAATTCCGATTGTTTAAAACATTTCTGTCGAGCGAATTCTATGATACCACAACTATGCTTTATGGCCCAAAGTGCCTACTGAGTATCAAATGAGTAAAGTTTGCGTTACTCTCACGTAATCTACGTAATTGCTGCCACGTAATAGTAAAATATATAGAGCTGCGGAAGAGGAGTGTGTTACGCTTAATACGACGATAAATGTCTAAAGATAGATCGATCAGAGACCGTGGAATGGTCGACTTCGTAATAGAATACCGAGGGTGCGGTAAAGTTTAATTAATTAGTTAGGACAGTAGCAGACATAGTAACGTAGTAAGACTGGCGGTTGTGTGATGGTGGTAGTGGTATTCTACAAATCGCAGTACAATAATTCATTGCCAAAGCAAAATTTTCCAATCTGTTTTTATTATTATTTTTCACCGTGATATCTCTCGTATCGTTACTTTGACGCAATCGCGTTTGTTTCGTGTGATTTAATAATAATAAGACGTCTAAGAATTACGCTGATTCGTTCCTAGGTCTTGAATTTATCTCTCGAGAAAAACTGAAAATCAACGCAAAATTGATTGATCTCTAACAAATATATATTATACAAAACAGAATTCCCGATGATTAAAAACGCGAAATAATAATAGCGTATACTATATCTCTTGCGATCTCCGAACACTTTCCAAGTCTCTTCGTGGAACTTTGCTTCAATTGTTGAGACATTTAAGGAATGATCGCAATTTTCGTATACATAATTGCCAATCTATAACGTAAGTAATACATATCGACGAACGCATCGTTAGATTAAATGGTATATACAATCAAATATTATTAATATTAATTTATTGTGATTCGAAAGGTAGCTACACTGTTAGAAATGTAACCACGAGCTTCCTTTACATGTAAATGAAGCTGGTGGTTATGAACGAAATTAAAAGTAATGAATGATTTAACTGAAAATTAAGTTACAGTAGTTACTTAAATGTAATAAACGTGTACATTAAATTTATAAAATTTAATGTACTTTTAATAAAATTTTATGAAAAGTACATTAATTTCATAAATTTTCATGAAAAATACATTAAATTTTATGTACATGTACATAAATGTACTTTTTAGTTACAAATACATTAAATTTAATGTAATGTTATGAAATTAAATTCAAGTTAAATTCAATTTTGTAACTTAAAAGTTAATGAAATTTAAGAACATTTCTAACAGTGATATGATCTTTAATTTGAATATCCATGCATAATATAAGATAATTTTTCTAAGAAATAATAAACAATAAATATAAAGGAAGCGCTCAGTGATCATTAATCCAACGAATGACCGTTCGTTCCTAACGAGATTGAAAGAATTTCGACGCACAAGCCGATGCGTGCACGCGTTACGCATGAAACATTACCGGCGCGGCGCCGGCGAAGAGAGCACGAATACGATCGAAAAGTCAGGAGGTTCGCAGGTGAAGTGTGCATCGATGAACATGTGGATGGATGTACTTGTTGAGTGAATGAAGCGACAGCCTGAATGAGCCTGAGGGGAAAGGCCGTTGAAGAGAATGACAGAAACGCGAGACACGCGCTGCGCTGCTCAATCGCCAATTTGGCGATTCGAGTTACTCTCTCGGATCTCACCACTCAGCCGACACGAAACGATCACTGAATTAGACACGATCGTGCACTGTGCGCTTGTGATTTCGTAATCACGAATCATTGAGAGCGTGAAAGAGCCCTGGTGTTAGCCAAGTGGAGAAAAGGGTCACTTGTATCAGCCGAATATCTTATATTTTTATTTTAATATATGCTATTATGTTAAACGCGCGTATTGAAGTAAATAATATTATTTCTTATTATCTGTACATTTTCTTCACTTTAATATATCAATTTACTATAATCGATTAGTTAATAGTAGATAATTTTTCGCAAGTTTTTTTTTCGATACATTTATGAAATTATTAGTATTTTTAATTGTATATAACACTGTTTTTACTGTTAGAAATTTTTACAATTTTTGGTATCAAAATTAAATATAAAATTGTGAGCGCTCATTTTTTCAAATTTGCTTTAATTAGTCGTCTCGATTAGGCTATATCTGTTCTTTGACAAGAATCCGATCCACGAATCCAATTCGCGACTACGCTCGATACGGAAATTAATTGCGCGAGTATGGCTTATTGTTCTTGTGCACAACCAGGGGCCGCAATGGTGTAGGGCTTTAGAAAAGTTGACGAAAAGATTAAGTGCATGCGACTGTGTTTGTGCCGTATAATATGTCGGTAAGCCCAATGGGCGTGTTGAACGCCTCGGCACGGACCGATTGATTCATTGATCTATTGACGGTTCCAGCACGCCGACAGGAAATCATCAAGATGACTGAGCAATTGATCGAGAGCATCAACACCGGAGATTTCGAGGCATACACGTAAGTAACGATATAATCGTTTGTTAAAGAGGGACTCAAAGGACCATCCTGTACGTTTGTAACGATAGCAAATTGCTCAAGTACTGATAAGTTTACGATGTTTATCGATTTTTCAAAATTTATTTCAGATTATTTAAAGAATGCTCTGATTTTTAAAATATTGAAAATAGAAAGATTCGAGATATCATATATAAAGTTTTTGTTAAAGAATACATTATTCGATGAAGCTTTTTACATGGATATCAATATTTTATCAATATTTTTGTTTTACATTTTATATTTGTTAAACTACTATTACTATATTTACATTTCATCAACATGTACCTATCACTTAAAATTGAATTCGGACGATTGGTGATTAATCTGGTAGAAATAGCCGATGCTCCCGATAATACTGTACACAGGCTGATTAAAAAAAAAAACACTATATACTGAATAAAAAAGCCTCGGCTGCTGTTTTTAAATGTTACTTTAGATTTTTTTTTTTTTTTATGAAACGAAAAATCTTTCTGCTGAAGGAAAAATGATTCTAAATTAACTGAAAGATATATACACATGTATGCATATGTATCTTTCGGTTAATTCGGAATCGTTTTTCCTTCAACAGAGAAATTTTTCATTTCGTTTCGAACAATGTACTATTAAAAACCGATATGATAGAAATAAAAGTATCATTATAAAATTATTACAATAAAAGAGATACATTAATCCCTTTTTGTGCTTTCAGGAAAATCTGTGATCCACATCTGACCGCATTCGAGCCGGAGGCTCTAGGTAATTTAGTCGAGGGAATGGATTTTCACAAATTTTACTTTGATAATGGTAATTATGACTTATTGGCATCATCATTGTAAAATTGTATTGCTTTTTATAGACAGTAATTTTTTATATAGACATAATTTGTAGATATAATATATTCGATAAAATAAAATATAAACATACCATTATAACATCAATAAATTTTAAATTAGTAAAAAAAAGATTACGCACTTTCTATAATTTTGTCATTCTGTTTTGCATCTTTAACATCTAAAAAGTGGATTTTAGAAGAGATTCTATCCTTTTAGAATATTTAATGTATTTGTATTAAAACATCATATAATAAAAATTGCACATACTAAAGCGTTGCACCGAAAATTAATAACGAGAAAGTAGTTATTTCTGTGAAATGAGTTTCCTGGATGTTTATAAATATTCTCTTATATTTTGCGACTTTTGGTAATTCAGATTTTATGAAAATGAATAGAATTAAATTTCTATCGTAATGAATAAATCAAAAGACTTTTAATTGCATGAGCAATTTTAAAAAGTTTCCATGTAGCGCTAAGTTTGCTTGATTTTGCACAACATAGAATTTTCTTCGGAATATACAATTTTTATTTGTCCGACTCCCTATTTTTTCTTCGTGTTCCGCGGTACACACACTAATAGTTGATCTCTTTCCCCTTGTTTCTTTTCTTTATCCCTCTTTCATTTGCTTGTTTCTTTGCAATATTTTGACTTGTATGAAGCTTTTATGTCGCATGTTAATATAAATCACGGTATTCGAATAACTTTTCACTTTGTTTCCCGTCAATATCCGAAGCAGTCTTGGGGAAAAACTGTAAGGCGGTCAATACGACAATCCTGAATCCCCACGTCCATTTGCTGGGCGAGGATGCTGCTTGCATCGCGTATGTCAGGCTGACGCAATACATGGACAAGTGAGTACATGTAACAACGAAAAGATAGTTAAGCGTGATCTGCACCGATGTGGTCGAAAATTTAAAAAGTCATAATTTATTCAAATTCTTTTGTCTTTGTGTTACATATTAATTTCTTATAAATAACAGCTTTTAATTCGTTATAAATGATAGCTTTGAAGTTTTTTTATTTAATATTCGAGGGGACCAAATAATATTCTTCACCATTATACGTTTCAACAACTGCAAGATTCCATTGTTGCACATGTGTTATTTTATAATTTGCTCTGTACTGGAGATAGCTAGTATTGCAATATTCCAAGACGATATGTCCGTGTCTCGTAAAATAGTTTGGTTCAAGTTTCGTACTATCGTATACATTTCTTTCGTTTTGATCCTCAGACAAGGCGTAGCGCATACCCAGCAAAGTGAGGAAAGCCGCGTGTGGCACAAGAGGGACAACAAATGGCAGAACGTGCATTTTCATCGAAGCGCGGTGACGGGTCCATCCCCGTTCTCCTTCAACCACAAATAAATCGGCCAAGAGGACTGTCCTGCTGCCGCTCTCGGCGAATGCTCGTTGTCCCCCGATAGAGCGCGAATGAACGAAGTAACGAAATGTTAGGAATACGGGATACAACGTACGGCGGGCATCCTCACGAAACACACACGTACACATAAAACACGTACATAAGAACGAAGTTACGAACGAAGAGAGCACACAACGACGTAATGCGGTATTCGAGAGACAGAGAACATATAAGTAACGCGCTACAGTAACACACGAATACAAATACATTTACATATAGTACCAAACGCGACAAAACCGAAGATGTGGCGCATCCGCCGGCATGTATTACTTGCTCCAGTACCTGCTCAGCGTACTTACTACCTATCCTTACGCGTGCACGCCCACCGCGCCAAGTGTGCCTCGGAGCCTCGACGAGGGAAATATGCGGCATATCAGCATATGCGCGAATCATTGGAAGCGCGAGAAAAGAGCAGAGAGAGAGTCGGTCAATCGATTGTTGTATGTATCGTAACGAGTACCGAGGACACGAGGTAGACACTGTCCATTGTCGGTTAATGAACGCGATCGCGGCGGAGAGAGAGAGAGAGAGAGAGAGAGAGAGAGAGAGAGAAGGGAAATTTCTGGGCTGCAACGTTCATGCACATGCACTCCGATCATTCGTTTCGCCGGCATCTTAACATCGTCCGTTTTGGTTTCGTATCTTGCGCGCGACGACGCGTTCTTCTTCGGTTCTCGAAAGCGAGACTGACGTCGATTTCTCAAGAGAGCAAGCGGATCCTCCAAACAGAATTGTGATATCGAGACAAGTCATCGCGTGTGCGACAAAGAGATCATGAAACCGCTATCGCAATCAAACTCGCGTCGATGTTTCATGTATCGTCAAGCATCATCAGCAAAGTTGGAAAATTTCAATGCGAGGAAATGTAATAAAGAGAGTCGGATAAAATGAATAGCACAATGGCAGATGAAACGAGTCGTCGGAGACGGCGAAGAGAGACGGAAAGCAGGAAGAGGAAGTGGAGGACGATAGGGTCGACTCGGATCGATGCTGGGCATCGACGGGGACAGCGACGGTCGTGATGGAACGAGAAGAGGAGTAAGAGCGAGAGAAAGAACAAGTATCCAAGTATCGACATAAGAGAGACAGACAGAGAGAGAGTGAGAGGGGGGGGGGGGAGTGTGAGAGAGAGAGAAAGAGAGAGAGAGAGAGAGTGAGTAGAGAAAACGATGGTGCGGCGTGGTGTGGAAGAGCAACGGAATGGAATCGCGATCGAAAATTGCGACTGAGTGCCACGCCGTGTTTGCGTTGATGAACGTTAACAAACGCAGCGGCAGCATATTTCTCCATGTGATTTCTTTCTTCGGCTTTCGCTCTCGTCTCGTCTCGGCGAGATACGGAGCTGCATCTAGACGCGTGCGACGAGAGAGAAAATCTCAGCGCATTCGTGGCGAGATGCGATCAAAAATCTGCGCGCAAAAGATATCTCGTTTCTATTTATTTCATTAACTTAAATTATTAACCAATTTTTTAAATTCTCTTGATAAATAGATTCGCGTGGCGCGTATGTTCGACACGTTCTATCGACTCGATCTCTTGACATCGGATGTATCTTTCGAATGCACAAATATCGTTTAATAAATCAACGATAATATCGCGACGTAGAACTTGAACGAAAAGGAGATACAAGATATAGGAAAAATATATCCGCCATGGGATAAATTTGACATCTCTTTTAGAGAATTGCATTTTTACCTAGTAATGTTCAAGAAAGTACTTCGAGCTTCATATTTAACGTAGCGTAAGTTTGACATATATAAGCTTCAATTATTTCTATTGCGAGATTAACGGCAATTCAAAATGTACGCGATTATGCTGTCATGTGTAAGTATATATCACGCGATATCAAATCCTTCGTAATATTCCTTCTGAATAGTGAGTACCACTGAGACGATAAGTAATAAATTTATTAATCGACGAACTTGCTGATGTTTGATAGATTGCATCTCGCTGCGGAAAAATATACCTTCTTCCCCTTTCCTCCCTTCACATGCATTTAAAGAAGACACATAATGCGCGTGACCGTCCTAGATAGAGAGAAAGAAATAATCTTTAACTGTCTCATTTTATGATTGTCAGGCACTTTGATGACTGGCGTATTTGTATATCCGGTTATTTTGAACGGTGGGCGTTGTGATATATTCACATATACAATAAACGGATAAATCATACAAAATATTCACGTATTTCCTATTATCTTTACTCTTTTAGCTCAGTCTTCTAATTTCATTTGTCAAACAATCTTGTAATTTCTATGTGCACATAAAAATGATTAACGAAAAAATATTAGAAAGGAAAAATTATCTTCCACACAAATAAAAGAATTAAGGATAAAGCGGGCAGCACAGACTTGCATAAAGCATATAACACATAAGGCATAAGAAATTTAACCAATCAGAGTTCTTTATTTCATGGAAAGGAAGAAAACGAAAAATTTTTATTGGTTCATCTTTTTTATGCATTACGTGTTATGGGTTGTGTAAGAATCTGTGCTTCCTGTCTAAAAGAGGAAAGAAAAAAGAAAAATGGAAAAGCAGACAGTGTTATAAAAAAACGCCGAGAAAAATACAATTTACTTCTATCACGTCTCTCTCTCTCTTTCTCTCTCTCCTCCCTCTCATCCTCTCCGTCTCCCCCTCCCCCTCTCTCTCTGCATTATTAATGTTATATATAGGCATATATTTATTGAATTACTTGGAGAATCTAAAAGATATATATAAACACCACAGTAACAAGTTGCAATATGCGACGAATGGATTTCACTAATCGTGAGAAATTAGGCAATGAGTGGATTCCTATCTAAAATAATTACGAATCCAAACATTTTTTGTCGAATGTACTTCATTAATATGACGAATCTTTCTACACATTCGTATATTCTCTATTACTATTATAACTTACGCGTATAAATAATAATACAATTTTATGAATGGGGAATCGTAGTAGAAATCTCTCCATTTACGAGAAATCAGGAGGAACATTTTTGCCATTTTGTTATATGTGTGAATGTGCGTGTGTGTAAGTGTGTGTGTATGTGTGTATGTAACATTATATATATAAATATATATATATAAAGGATATATAACACATACATATATATTATGTATATGAGTATAAGCGCGTGCACAAAAGTTGCAAATTCGTAGAATCATTAATTAACTAATGCATTATTATCTAATCATTACTAACGATCATTCGTTATTAGATATTAGAGTGAATGTTTCAGCGCCAAGTGTTTGCCAAGTTTTTTCTTTTTATTTTTCTCGGCGTCTCTCGAAGATTTCACGTAAAATATGTCTCTCCCTCGTTCCTATATATTATATTTTCTCGTTCTGATATATTGTTTAGAGAAGAACGAATTATTAGGCGATCGCATGTCGTCCGGCGTGCATCGTAAACACGATAAATGCGTTTTTCCAAACGGTGGAATCGTATTACGTTCGTGTGGTCGCACGTGCGCGCTCCACATCTACGCATATATATATATATATATAAATGTGCATAGCAGATATACATTATATATAAATATATAGAGATATAAATATAAATATAAAATTGCGAGATTAAGAAATAGTTATTTCTACTACTCTAATTTGTCGCTTCTACGTGTGGTTGTTGTATAAAAAAAAGAGATTCATTGATTTATTATTATTGTTATTACACGATTATCATTAATGTTAACGATTACCACTATTACTGCTATAACTACTACTGCTGCAACTACTATTACTACTGTTACCATTACTATTATTACTACTATACTATTACTATTACTACTATTACTATATTATTATTCTTACTGTATTATTACTATCGTCGTCGTTGTAGCCGGGAGTAAAAAGAAAAGGGGAGAATATATCTATTCTTTACTCTTGTCTATCGATCGATAAATTGAAAATTTTGTCTATGGGCTGCGACGATCGGCATAATCTCCTTTTTTTTTTTTAAACGTGACAAACGCCACAATTGACACTAATTCACGTTCAAATAAATTGAAAATGTTATTTATACATATATAGGTATATATACATATATTATATACATATGTGTGTATATACACAATATATATATATATACATATACATATATATGTATATGTATAGCATAGACCGTGTTACATTTTGTTTGTGTATGTGTTTGTGTGCGTGCGTGCGCGTGTGTTTGTGCTTGGGTGTGCGACGTGCGTGTGTACGTGCGTGTGCGTATGTATGTGCCTGGGTGTGCATGCACGCGCGTGTGTGTACATATACGTGTAACGTAACGCGGTCTTTATTATTATAAACGTTTATAAATACGAGTTTTACGAACGTTAATGAAATCGAGTGACTAAAGTATCGATATATATTCTCATTTTTTAGATATCTTTTCACATCGATTGAAAGTTCGGAGAAGCACACGTCCGCGCGCGCATGCGACGCACTGTTATTATGATTATAATTACAAATTACTGCAGCGTTATTCGCGTATTTCATAGTTAATTCATATCGAAGAGTTTTTCAAACGCGCGGAGAAGGACGTCTCTCGCGATGCTCGCTGAAAGTTGTTTGCAACTTATTATAAATCTCATAAGAATTCAAATTGAAACCATACACAATAGAGTATAAATTATTGCATTATATCAATGCGAAGTGTGCAGGTGTCTGTACTCATATCAGAAAAAAAATTTAATCGGATTTCTCCGTTGGGTCATGTATTCTTCAAGAGTTTCTTCCTTTATCATATAATATTACTCTCATTCTATATCTCCACGTCGGCAATAGCATGATTTCCAACGAGTTCATACCGAATTTTTTTCTGATATGGATACACCGTACAGTGGCGTAATCGACATTCGGCAGGTCCTTTCTCGAACTCGATATCCTTCTCTTTCAGAATTTTATCTCTTTCCATAATTTTTCTCTTTACTTCTCTCGTTCTTATTTTTCTCTGCTCTTTCTTAATTATCTTTAATCAGGCTGCGAAATCGCGTTGATTGCACCACTGGCATGGTACATATAGTGTAAACTACGTATTATATATATGTAAGTATAATATATCTCCAGATTTCTCACACATTCCGTAGCGGTTTGCTCATTTTCCATCTTGGCTCGCGTATCGTAATCTCTTTCTCCGCGTTTCTCCCGAGTATCACGATCTCTTGTCAGTGCCGATCATCGCGTAATTAGTATATCGCGTAACGAAGAGGTGCGACGAGAAATCTCGAGCTCCAATGTGTTCGACAATGTATCTTGTCGTTGTGCTTTCTTGTCTGATTTGTATCGACGTGATGAGATTACTTGTATGTACCGTACTTGTATGTACTCTTTGTGCATGAATGACAGCTCACGAGGACTAACGAGAATTATACAAGGCTTCTCGCGATTACGTTAACATCACATGTTGTAGATTTAGTTATCTCGCGTCTATACATAGAAATGATACACGTGTCCGAGAATATATGAAGAAGAAAAAGATGCGTGTGGCTATACGCTCGCACTGACTCACGTTTGTAAGTAATAAATAACATCGCGCGAGTAACAAAGCTCGGTCAAGATATCCGACTGAAAGCAGCTACAATATTGTTACTTTCATTAGAGATTTATCCAATTGTTCTCACTAACTCTTTTGTATTATAGATGAACATATCTTTGTATGAGAGATGTAATCGAATCCCGAGATCCATAGTGAAATTTAGTAGGGACGACAAAAGAGCAAAGCGAATTTTAAAATATTTTAAACCGTGGTCTCTCGCCATTATCATTATCGTTCTTTCATAGAAATTCATTCTTTCAAGCGAATGTTCGGCTTCTAATTCTAAAGATCGCATAAGCGATCTTTGTATTAAATGTGACTCGAATTTAAGCGAAAGAGGCAAACTCTGGATCTTATATACGCCAGAAATTAAATTGATTGTTTTCATAAATGAAATTTAAGCATATTCTTTGTGAGAATTATCAATTAGCGATTATGCTGTGTAAGTATTTGGAAGATATATGTTGTAATGATGACTGCAGATTAGCGACGGTTTAAACGTTAAAATTGCGTGCGTATCCGAACGATGTCCGTTATTTCGCTTTAAACTCTGATTTGTCATTGATGCATGTTTCAAGGATGGTCTGCATGTCGCGACTTACAAATTAACATATGATAACGCGTATACATGCGTGCGTCAGTGCATGATCACCCCTACAGCACAAAAGTTGCAGCAACACTGCTGCAACATTGCAGCAATATCGCTGCAAATTCTGTGCTGTATGGGAATATTTTGAGGTACGGACCGGTTCGACTGATAAGTAATGACAGAGTATAATGTTATCGGTCATCGAAAAAACGATCCGACAGATGACCGAGCTAGTCTTATCGATGCGTAAGGATCCAACGCGTAGGACCAAGATTATTCATGTTAACTCTAACGTTACTTTCTTATTGTCACTTTTGCTGTTGATGCAAATTTTTGTTAGCATCAAATCTTCATTTTATCTAATTGATTCGCTATTAATCTTTATTTGATTTTTCTTCTTTTTGTTTATACTATTAAGATACTTAAAATTTAAAGAACTCGAGTGTCTTATGAGAACTTATATGATGTAATTATTTGTTTAGATATTTCATATTTATTCATCCGTTTCAGTTTGTTCGCACAAACGGATAATGCGCGCATCGAAAGATGCAAACTATAGATCCTTTTTTCCTTCTTTTTTTCTCTCTCTTTTCTTGATTTTTTCTTTTATTCTCGTAAGACTCGCGGAACGATGCTCGGTATTTAATTACGCGTCGTGCAATCCGATTATGCCTCGAAAAGTCTGAAAGTGATGTTCCTTTCGGACATTGTAAACAATTGTAACAATTATCCTGGTTATAATATCAATATTATTACATTTATTGTAATTACCATTATCACCATTAATTATTATGTCGTTGTTATTGTTATCATCATTATTATCTCATATACGATATACATGGATATATGTATATATACAGACATATACATATATACGCATGTTACATCTTTATGTGTATACGTACATACTTATACGTTAAACCGCGCACGCATTTTGCATGCGATATGAGCAATGGCGAGCCCGCAATCCCAGGTATTTGTATTTCTATTTGACATAGAAGTAAACGCGTGTAACGAAGCGGCGAAAATACTGTTTCATCTAGAAACTTTTCACTTGACGACTGTAATTAAAAAAACGCTATTTTCCGTTGGTCTTTCTTATAAACTGCAAAAGAAGGAAACACCGCAGCACATCCATGCGCGGCATAAGATATTTGTATAACGTAATGTTATATTAAAGAAATAAGAGGGAAGAGAAACAAAGTATAGGATGGAAATAGCGAGTTTTTATATATAGAACACATGCGCGCGAGAATATATATTCCGAAATAGTGTTTTATCCATTTCGAAAGAAACTTTGAGAAAAAGAGAGAGAGGGAGAGAGAGAGAGAGAGAGAGAAAATTTGCACGTCTGGCTGAGATTATCTCTTGGAAGTGTGCGAATGTTATACATCCAGAAATTTATCTTTCATCTAGTCTAAGAATTAATCGAAATCTAGATGTGACATGATCGATTTGATTTGATTCTAGAACTAAATATCCATTTTTGCACTTCTCGATTGAATTAAACAAGCTAAGTGTGTAAAACTTGAAATAATTACTCACACGTACACGGAAATCGCGAAACGATCGTGCTCGATTTAATATCGCTGTTCTATATTTTTGCAATCAGCAAGAAAAATGGGATCAAGTTCTGGGTTCTCAATTAATACGATAAATCATTTCGTTCGATTTGAATAATATGAAAATTACAGTGAAGTGCTCATTGCGACATTTCTGTAAATAATTACACTTTTTACACGATCTTTTTATAGATTCTTTTACGGAATTTATGTGTGTAACAAATTTTTTAAATTAAAATTATGCACATTTGTAATTAAATGATCCTTCCTTCGTAATAATCAACGCTGTACCTTTTAAATGATATTCTGGCAAGTGATTCAATGTTATTTACAGCACACTTGATCCCATTTGCTCGATTTGAATTTAGAATTACGTCTGAAATGAACCGAGAAGCGCGTAACCATAGTCAACAGCGTATTTGGGTTATACATGCAAAGATTCGATTCGGTCTCGGCCGGATATGCGAGATATCTTGGAAGCGAATATTTGTAAAGGACTCTCAACGTATCACATTTTTCGCGATCACTGTTGCGTTTTAGGAAGACCTGCGACGATGTGGCAAAGTGATCGAATAAAACGCGATCCTGCAATAAATGATAGAATCGAAAAATTTCTACGGAAGATATTCATTTCATGAATATTCGCGTATTCTCAAACGTTGAAAATCGACGAAAGAGAATGGTCCTCCAATGAAGAAACCTTTAAGTTTTATATCTATCTTAAAAAATATGAATTTTTGTTCGATTTTACAAGACTTAATTTCTTTCATCCTCTTTTAGTTTACTTATTGTTTTGCAGAAAAGACTCAGCTGGGCGAAATGTCGGGTTATACGAAAGATTATTGATTCTGTCCTCTCCCTTCCCTGCTCTCTCTCTCTCTCTCTCTCTCTCTCTCTCTCTCTCTCTCTCTCTCCTTTCTCCCTCTCTCCTCTCCTTCCTTTTCTCTCATCGGTAAATTTAGTGTATAATCGCACTAAACTTCATTATTACAGACATTATTAAATCTACAGATAAACGGATAAGCGATCGATTACAATTTTGTCCTAATATATTGAGAGAAATAAAAACGAAAGAAACATATATGGCACATACACACATACACAGACCGCGCCCACAGTCGATCCATATGCATGTTCTACGCGTGCACGTAGCTTTCCGATCGAAGATTTTCCATTATCTCTTGTTCTTTTTTCGTTCTCTCCGAGGATTGAAATTATACAATTCTTAATATAACGTGTTCGTGGTGCTTGCACTTTTTGTACTCAGAATTTTCATTTCTTTCCTCCCCCACGCCTGAAAATATATTTATCTTATTTTAAGTGCAAAAAATTTAGAAAATTTCAAGCAACACGAACAAAAATCTATTTATTATCCATGAAATTATATTTGTAAATGTAAATTTCAATTCTTCTGCTTGAGACTTGAATCCGTTTTGATTCGACTGTAAGCAATATTGCGAAAAATTCCAACTCATACTATTGAAACTTTGCCTTGTACAAATGAAAATGTGGAATGCGTATTATCCATTTACAAATTATTAGATTTTTATATACATCAATATTATGGGATGTTATATGTATATGTATATACATATACTTAAGATCTTTAGAAATCTTTATTGTTAATTTTTTATAGTTTATAGTTTTCAGTGACAAGATTTAGGAATGAGATTGGCTTCGCGAATTGTTTGAGATAAGAGATAAGAAATGTATTTCTTAACCGCGCCGCGCGCATTCTTGATATTTTACGTCTTACGTTATTACATACCAATTGTCAGTCTTTTTGCTTCGCTTATCAGTAATTGACTCTGTACTAATAATATAATCGAGTCATTAGGCAAAATTTGACATTTATGTACGTTGTAACGATTGCAAACAGATATGCATTCAACAAAAGTTGTAATATGTTTGATAAAACTTAAATGAAAAAAAGAAGTGTTTGTTGGAAAGACAAGTTGGAGAAGATCAAAGACTGTCGATGATAAAATTCCATCGAGCCCTCGATAAATTCAATTAATCATCAGATTAGACACTCTTTTATGATTGAAGATAACAGCGCGCGTAAACGTGCGATGTTTTTGTTATCCTTTTTTATTACAATCGCTATTGTTTGGATACATTTACAATTCGTTATATATTAATTGTATTTAGCGTTAATATTACGATCATTATTATTTTATTATTATCGATTTTATTGTTACTATACGATTGATTTATTACAAATGCAGCATTCATATTTTGTTATTAAATTAGATTAATTCTGTTGTTGAACGTGTGGTTTAATTTTGTACATTTGTTGTTTTTAATTATTTTACTTCCCGTTCTCTTATCTTTCTTCCATGTCATTAGTTCGAGATGTCGAAATAAAGAATTAGATATCTCGGTGTGTCTCAGCGTTGCTACACATTCGCTGTCAACTTGATTTTACAGTGCAAGAATTTGTTCATGTTCGCGCGCCCACGAGATCCTCGACAATCCCAATTCAATCTTGATCAAATGTTGTACGTGTGTTATGTTTGTGTATGTGTTTGTCGTGTGTGTTATTATAAGTCATAAGAATAATTTTATCGCACTGTACATTGTTACGCGTGCACCGTAAACGCCATCACTTTTAGAATTCTTTATCAAAATCCTAACACTAAACAGAGAGAGAGGGAGAGAGTTTTTATTCAATTATGATAGGTAACGTTGAGCGTGTAAACAAAAAGGATCGATGCTGATGGGATTAACGAGAATAACGATACTGCTATTATATCATACGTTCGTTTACACTTTTATTATAAACAAGCTCCTCTTAACAATACATAAATTGTAAAGACAATGTCGTTCATTCTTACATGTTGCTCATCTAATGATCGTTAGTCATATTCTACCAATATGACACAACTATATCGTCTAACGATTAATAAAATTGCACAAGCGGCGATGCTACGCGAGATGCGGCGTCGCAACACGATTATCGTCGATAGTCGTTTTCTAAAACCCTTAGCGTTTTTCATAAATCTGCCTATATCTCAAGTAGACACGATTACTATTATCGATACTTCATTGCTTTAACTAAAAAACCTGTAAGGCACGTGTTACGGTTCGCCTTACGACAAAAATTTTCATGTCCTAATAACATTAGAATCGCATTATCCTTTTCTACGGGATCAAACTGTATTACTGTCACTTCATTCATCGTTATTATTATTCCTTGAATCTCGATGATCAATGTAAATTAATAACATACAGAACGGATGTTAAAAGTTGACTGTGCAATTTACAAGATATTTGTGCCTGCAGTAACAACAAAAGAAAATAAAACGTCTCTCTTGATCATATTAAACTATAACCCAGTACTATGTATTTGTCCTCTCTCTCTCGCACACGAAATATAATTCTACTAAGTTTCACGAAATACTATTTTAATTTTGACACATATAGAAAATATATTGGTTTAAAAGAGATTTTAATAGTTAAAATAATAAATTAAAGACTACGCATGTAAAAACAAGACACAAGGATTTGAAACCTCAATAGTCTCCGATTGCACAAGTTGATATTTTTTCTTGTCATCAAAAATATTTAACATCATTAACATGATTAAGCATGCACAGGCGATTATCATCTAATAATATAAAAAAATATTTAAAAACTGACAAAATGTCTTTTATTGCAAACTTTCAACTAGTTAGCAGTTAGATAATGCTAATTTTGCACTGCTTATATATTTCATCGACAACAATACCTTTGCAAAATATACGAATAATATATAACTTGGATAAATATTAATAGATACTATCATACTTCGTGATAATCATGTAATAATATTAAATGTAAAGTATATACAGAGATCGAAATTCTTTTTTTTCGATATACTAAAAATATAAATCCACTATATAAATATGATTGTACATAAGAGATGAAGAAAAGATATAAACTTCGGTATTCGAGGAATCGAGTACTGATTAAATCCATTTCAGTTTGGTATTTTATTATAAGCGCAAGATATATATGAATACGTAATGATATTCGCAATGCCATCAGATATTTTATAAATGTATCTTTACACCAAAATACCGTTCGAATTGGACTTAAGATATCACGAGATCTGTTCATGCCGATCAGGATCTTCCATGTTTATTGATTCGATCGGTAAATAAAGGATTATCATAATCGCAGTTTCATAATTGATACGCGAGTTTCGTTTTATTATCGCTTGTTATTACTTGCAGAACGTCGAAGACGACTCAACCACCTCGTAAATCGCCACCCTCGTCGCTGCTCCGTCTCCTGTTGCGACCTCGACCTACAAAACAATCGACATAGCTCGTATAATTTTCATGTCGGACATAATAAATAATAAACACGATCATCGCATCACAAATTTCGTTCGATAACATTTGGATTATCTGTTTCAATAAACAAGAACAGATATGCAAAATCATATAACTTTGAATATATTGGTTTTTTAAAACAAGAAAGATTATAATTATTTAATTTTTTGAAATTATTCATTTTTTGTTCTTAAATTCGCTAAAAACTTCTATCGTTAAAAACAAAAATTCGTAAATTTTGAAAAAGTATACAGACATATAATCACACATATATATAATAAAAATGTATGTATATGAATATTTATACAATATATAGAATATTGTGCATGTACATAATATTCTATGTGTTATATAAACACAAACTAAAAAATATTATTCGTACTAAAATATCATTTGTTTATAAAATATATCATTTCTTCCAAAATTTCTTAAAATAATTTTTTTAATAATACATATATACATTCAAAATTTAGAAATATATGTACATATAATTCGGTAAGGTTATTCTTTTATTATATATATAAACTATTTTTTTATAATTTTAATAAAAAAGAGAATTCGGGATTATAACCTTCATCATTGCATAAAATATCAAAAACTTTTCGCCAATTAGTAGTAAACAAAAATTTTATTTCTCGTAGTTTTGAGATGCACGCAGCAGCGTGACTTTACATTTATGCAATCATCCAACAAACTTCGTAAATTTCGTATTTGTTGCTCATATACAATAATAATAATAACCCTAATGAGGTAAAAGAATTACAACATTTTAATATATTGGTTCCTATTTTAATGATGGCAGTAAATCAAATATACGTTTCATTTTGATATAATGTATTAATTAGCGATATGTTTTAAGAATATTGAATCTGAATATATGCATAGTACGAATGGTTCGAAATAGCAATTAACAAATAGCATAACATCTTTAAAAAGTATTGCACATAAAATAAAGAAAATATATAAATTAAAGAAATTTTAGCAAAAAGAAGAAAAAGAGAAATAAACGTTACGAAGTCGTTTGTATATTTTGAACAACTCTAAAATCGAATGCAAAACGTTAGCGTTAATAATAAAATTGTGTGTAGACATTATCACAATAATTTATGATTTTATACAAGATATTTAGGAATACAGAAATGCTCAAAATATCAGTCAAATATTGGGTCGAACATTGGAAAAAAAGAAAAAAAGATGAATTTTGTTAAAATTCACTGATATTTTACAATTAAAAAATTTGAGTAAGAACATATCCAATGCATAAAATTCAGATAAAGCTTTACATCATTCAATTCAACCACCACGTATTCTAATACTTGCGCACAACAATGGAAGACTCCGAAAAACTCTTAGATTTTTTTCCTACTTATGTATTCCTGTACATTATTAGTATAGCACATTATAGCAAAGAGATTCTGTAAGGAGAATATTATTATAAATTTTCACTACCTCTGCGTATCTGATTGAGACATGCCAACATTCTGATCATAAAAACCGCTGGTACAGTAATTGTATCTTTGGTCTCTTCTAACATAACTGCGTTTCTCTTTTTCAGCTGAAAATAAAATATAACGTCAAATTTCAAGTCTGTTCTATCTTGGTTATTTTAAATTGGTGTATGCGTACACAAACACGCGCCCACACACACACCTATTTCATTCAAAATAAACAACTTACGTCTTCTGCAAACTTTTCGTCAAAGGTTGGTTCGTCGTTGATCGGCGCCCACAATTTAACATCGTAATCAATGCCAGAAGTAGCCAGCATTGGAAGAAACGGATGCGGTTGCAAGCAATTGACCACGTGCTGATCCGCTTCCAACAGCATACACAACCTTGCGGTGTCTCTTTCCCACACGAATACGTGACCGCAATCGCTACCCGACATGACGAAATCGTTGCCCCAGAAATTCGCTTCCTTGATCATGGTCCTAAAGAAACTAGAGTCAAAAGTGGGGGAAAGGCAAATAATCAGAGATAATTCGGCGGCTTTAATATTGCACAGTCCGCCCAGTCCGCTCGGAGGCTTTTTCGGAACTACTCGAGTCAATGATTTGGCTTCCGATCTTTCAGACGTTTACATATTGCTACATTTTGATTAGACGAGGATTCAGTTAAAGTTATCGTCATTTAAGGTGGCAGCGATCGAACTCTCCAAGTAGATTAGTGTATATGCTAACTAGAAACTATAATAATCGGCATGACAAAGACATCGTTTCTTGTCAGTTTCTTAATATAATTACTTAATATTGTGTTAATCTAATAACTACACTAACAATTCTAATGGACGACATTTTAAATAATTTTTATACAAAAGTCACTCACACGAATTCAAGAGCATATACTTGAGAGTGTGTATCGCTCTCATTAACGATTGAATTTGGTGAATATTACGAGTATAGAGTTAAAAATAGATCAAACCTGGCATTCCTATGTCCCATATATTTTCGTTTCACGCAGAGTTCCGTTAGGCAGGCATCATCGAACGTTTCGTGTCCTTGCGATGAACGAGCATTGGCAATTGCTTCATCCATTTCCTCGACTGGGTTTAATAATCTGTGAAAATCTCAAAGTTATTGTTAAAGATGAAGAAATTGCAAAAAACAAAAAAAGATATCACGTATAAAGATATTCAAAGAAATACAAGCAACTTGAATAAAATCTTCATAATGTTCAACAAACCTTTCATCAGATTGGATATCTTCGTCATCGCTATCAATGTACACATCTTCTTTAGTGTCTACAAAAATATTGTGTATAAACAACTATACACATACATATATATATATATATATATATATGTATGTGTGTGTAATTATTATTACAAAATTTACGAAACAATAAAAAAAAATTTTTTAAGAGAGCGACTAAACAATAATGACATTTACTATCATTGTAATGATGATTGCGATTACTACTTGGGCCTGCATCAAGAGTGCCATCGCTACTTCCAGATGGTCCTAAAAAACGAATTGTATAAAGTCAGTTCAGATATGTATGTACTTGAAGTAAGTAACGATTTCAACTACTCACCTGGATGGTAACTGTCGCGAGTCATTTCGTCGCCAACACCAAGTGATATCGTGGCATTAGTTGAACTTTTATCAGAATATGTTAAACTCACAGCAGGTTCACTGCCATGTCTATACATTAAGTAATGTATTAAATAGATATAGTCATTTTCACACATCTTTATGTTTTCATCAGTTAAAAGATATATTAATACTTCAAAAAGAAAGAAAATGTCAGCTCAATGTATCCGAAATAAAAAATGTATATCTTACCGTTCGAGGAAACCGTCCCGCATTGTTGTTAATCTATCTTGAAGATTCTCCATCATATTCTCCTGTTTACTAGTTATATTCCCGCATGAGGCTTCATCCTCATTTCTATTTCGATTCCATACATTATCATGCTCAGTTCTGTCACGACTAGTTGTACATCTTATAGAAGTAATTTGCGCTCGATCGCTTTGACTAGAATCAGTTTCCATAGGAACATCATTGTTCATACTTGCCGATATATTCGGTGATGCTAATTGGTTATATTCCTGAGATTGTCCAATTTCTCCCGTTTGAAGTCTCTCGGTATTAATTGTTTCATCCATGTCTATACTTTCAACTCTATCAGTACGCGTGCTCGCATTTTCTAAAAAAAAAACAACATTTTAATAGAATTATGCGAATCAATCAAAATGTATGCATTTTTTTTTTAGTTACCACTTGTTTCCAAAGTATTTCTTTGTTCTGCACTCAATTCAACCGTGTCATTACTTCTTTCTGTGTTCAATTCAGGATTGTTCTCAACGTTCTGAATACTTTCTGGTTGTTCGATGACACCTTCCAAACTATCTTCACCTCCACCACTCAGAGCAGCGCGTGTGGCCGGATCATTTAACATTCTGCTGAGCACGTCCGTCATTCTTTGCATCAAGGACGTATGCAGTACCGGCCTTGCCTGAGCGATTTCTGATGAATGACATATATGATATTAAAACTTTTTGCAAAAAATATATATAAACAGAGTAAGATAAGAAAAATCACAACTTACCTGTACCACTACGACGTCCTCCTTCTCTTTCTGGACGTGCATCGGGACCGGTATCGGACCAATCGCCACGAAGTCTCAAACGACGAACTGGTTGAGGCGATCTTAACGGATGCTTCTTTCCTTTTCCTTTTCCCATTGTCGCATCTTTACGCAACTGTAAACTGCCTTGATCCTGGATATACATTTTTGAAATAAATTACACATAGAAATGTACAAGTAAGAATAATAATATAAGTATTTCGAGATAAAATATATATATATATATTTAGATAAAATAAAGAAGCAACACGCTGCGAAATGTAAATGAAAAATAAGTATTATAATTATTGCGTTACTTTAATACTGAATAAATAGAGATGATCGCTGCTATAGCTGACAAGGACGTCTTGTCCATCCGGGCTATAACTCAACGACGTAATCCTGTAAGAATTGCCTTCGAATTCTGGGACAGTGAAACTGCACAGCGGTCTCACCGAACTTTCCGCGTCTGTCCAACCTAAAGAATACACACACATGTAATCACGGTACTCTGTACCGTGACGTAATACAGTTATGTCCCGTAAAGATTACCGGTGGCCGGTGTACCAAGAGTTCTTCTGTCGAATGTTCTTACAGTGCTATCGGAACAACCGATCGCTATTTGGTGAGGCAATACAGGATTCACAGACAAAGCGGTCACGGCTCTTTGACACGGGATTAGTACATCCTAAAAAAATAATTTAATAAATGCATTCCAGATGTATGAGATATATAAGTGCTACATTTGTCCTTTATCCTGAGATCAAACCATCTCACAGTCCCGTCTTCTCCACAGCTTAAGAAACTATGTGGTTCACCGGGTATTGTCGCAATTTCGTAAGTAGTGCCGGTGTGACAAGTGAATTGATTATGAAACGTTTCTGTTCTTCTCATCAGATCTGTAAACGCGACATTAGTGCTCAGTAAAAAAGATAACATATATAAAATACTCGAAATCTCATTAATTTCTTTGTTCAATCATAGTCTATTGATTTGTATACCTGTATACAAAATAATGCCATCTCCACTACAAGAAACAATACGGTGATCTCCGCTATTAGGCAAAAATTTGGCACTAAAAATATTTGCCCTGTGACTTGTCTTATAATCTGTTAATACCTTAAATACATATAGAAAGAAAGATTATTAAAACAATATAAAATATTTTATATATCTATATGAAATATTTAATTTTCAGTCAATTTCTTGAATTAATCTATTTTAATGATAGAGAGTCAAAAAGAATTTCTATTAAACATATGTATATCTTATATTACAAATATAAGATAAAACTTAGCGTCATTATTATATCTCTATTAACTATGTATGCAAAATATTATATCACATATCTTTAATGAAATGTTATTCGAATAAACAAAAACAATACAACACAATGAACATTTCACTATGATCAATTAGCAAGGTCTAGGATAGCACCAAACGATAAAATTAATCACGTGCACATCTGAAGAACCTACTGATTTGGCACCAGCATCTGTATCTTTAACTATGTCAATGTTGGACCTTGACTAGAATTAACTATTCAAAATATTCCCTTGAAAAAGTTTAATATCATGGTTAATGTAATTTGTTCAACTTATTCGAATACCTTCATCTTGTATTAATTCTCTAGTATTAAAATAAACACATTTTTTCATATAAGAAATATAATAGTATGGTTTTATATGTATAATAATAAATTAAACATTATTAATTGATAAATTAAGACATATTAGGAGATCCAATTAAAATTAGGAAATAGTTTAAAAATCTAAATGAAATATAAGGAAAATGAACAAATGCATTACTCTTTCCCATAGATAAAACACAACGAGATCTAATCGTCTTACTACATTTTATACAAATACATTTTGTAGAAATATACGTTGCATCTTCAGGATAATGTTAAAAGTTAAAAAAAATATTTCGTGGATTGTCACGCATAATTAACTTCCTAGACACATAACTTCCAAGGATAAAATCAAAAATAATCTTGGCACAAGATTCTTCTTTGACAGTGCCACGAATAAATTTTAATTTAAGAAAAGTAATGGAATATTGCTTCGTCAGACAATATACGTCAATCGTTAAGTTCGTATAATACGTATTTAACTCTTTTGATGTTAATTAAAATATGCACATATTTAAATTTTTGCTTAATAGATAATAATTTTTATAAGAGAGCTTCTCCTAAATACAAATTTTTTATAGCATCTTTATCTTCTCTTTAAATAAGCATATAAGTGTACCTCATAATTATGTGCATTAGTTAGAACGAGATGTTGATCATCACTTCCAGACAGTATCAATTCTCCATTGCTGTTCCAACATATAGAATTCACACAACCATTGTGGACCTTCAATCTCTTTAACAATGACATGCGCTGCATTAATTGTAAGCTAGCTGTACAACAAGAAATGTATAGTAAAATATCAATACTTTGTCAAACACAACAATTCATATAAACTAATTAAAATAAATGTAAATTTCTAATCAGATGTTTATAATAGATAAAATATACAGATAAATAACAATTTATCTTTCTACCTTGAATTGAAGATAGGAAAAAATTGGCAAATCAGATTAAATAATACAACTTAAAGCAGCTGCCAGCAAATTTTGGCCAAACTATCGTATACTTATAGATTCTGTGCAGGTATTACAAGGAGCAGAAAGAGTACCTTTGCTGCTGGAATAGAGCTTTAGCCTCGTGCAGTCGTCATACGGTTGATAGTAGATATCGCGGAAGATGCTGACGCGAGTCTTCCTCATGGTTGAATCCTCAATGGAGTTATCAGCTGACTTTTAATTTCAACGGCGCATAGATACTCGCAGCGAATAGATTGCGAGAGAATTATTGTCGAGTAAATTGCGAGTTTCTATGCGTTGCCTTGTCAAGTTCTTAAGAATTCCGTGGCACGTTGTTACGCAGCAAAAATCCTGTCGATGAGTTGATGCGACGACGTGACATGGCACACTCGAGACTAAAAATAAACACGACGTTGCAGCGTGGAAAATTCGCGTGGTACGATCTTGACGTCTCGGACTACTTTGGAGTTGGACAAACAGCTGAGAGATCGTTTTATATATATATATATATATATATGCATTTACATACGTATATGTATATACATATACGTATGTATACACGATATATCCTCGGAATATAAAATCGCATTAGACTTGGGACTTGATGTCTCGACGGTCTCGACGGCTCGGTGTTTCAGAGCGCTAGCATCGTATCTACCACCTAGATAATCTAGGTATCTAGGTATTGATACTAATTATTATAATATTAATTGCATACATCATAAGATTTAGAATATCAGAATTCTGTTTGACAAGTCGAGTCCGAAATATACATTTCCAAGAATTGTAATTTTTTAAATTTAAATTTTTTGAGAACAATATTTTATCAAGCCACAGTAATAATTATTTATTATTGGTAAAGTCAACGTTAATTTTACCAACTATCGATAATCGGCAATTTTTTACGACAAATTTCGTCAACATTCCACGAACAAAAAACATTTTAATTTTTAGAAACTGACAACGTATTATATAATCAAATCAAGGGAAACGTAATATAAGACAGCAAATTAAAACACACAGCATTGTAATTTTTAAACGTTACGATTGTATTGTGATAAATGTAGGTATTTAAAATTTTTTTAACTAATATGTATATAAATCGAAATATTTATATTACAATATTACTGTCATACATATAATTCATAAAACTCAATATGATCGTTTTTCTTTCTTTTAATACTTTAGTTCCTGAGAAATAAATATTAAATAAATAAATATTAATTTAACGTTAGTTAAAAATGTTATAACCAAATGTATTTACTAAATAAAATTATATTGTTATTATTTAGAGCTGCTGCGTCAAAAAATAAACAACATTCACTCAACTTATAATAAAAGTTGAAAAGAAATTAGATTTTTAATATATAATTGAAAAATATATTATAATAGTTAGAATTACATATTATTATACATTATAAACATATAATACATTATTTAATAATTATTATTCTACATTAATACATCGTAAATATATTATTATGTATATCAAAAGAATAATTTATACTAGCGAAGTAATTACTTTTCTATTTGATATATCTTTTATAGTTTTGCGAAATATTCAGTATACATGAATTTTCAATTCGCTCTCGTCGAGAAACTTTCAGAGAGAGAGACATCGTTTCCTCTATTTTTAGAATAGACTACTCGCATGAAGACTTGGGTCTTTTTGTATTCCCCTTCTTTCCTCCGAGGAGCGAGCAGGCTTTGCGCGTGACCAAGTAAAACTCAGAAGAATCACGTTGAATTAATACTCGAAAATCGTTCCATTATATCGTTCTACTAAATGTTATTTCGTAACCTTCGTCAAATAAAGATAAAAGAACAAAGCAATATTAATGCGGCTTTTCATACTTTAAATTCATTATTATATATTGATCTGTTGATATGTTCACATTGATTGTATTCTTCGATTTCAGTGCATTAAAATAAAAGATTCGACTATACAAGAAAGAAGAGTAAACATATTCTCATATCAATCATGATCTGATAAGATTTCATGAAATATGATTGTTTATTATTACGTACGGAAAAGAAAGATAATTTATACGCTTTAACATGAAAAGTTTATGAAATTATGACGGTAAAAATCTTCAACTATATCATAGAAATTTCTCTTTAGTCACGTAAATTTATTGATTATCTGTGAACATTGCTATAAAGATTTTTTACAAGTTCTACATTTTATTCATACATACAAATTCACGCACACTTTATTGATCTCTTTGTTCATGTTGATAAAAAGTTGATATTAATTTATTTATATATACATAGAGAAATACATATGCGAAAAATTCTCATAAAACGTGATGATGAAGAGAAAAAAATTGTAACGTCGTAACATTTAACACTTTGTATCGAGGATATAAAATTACTTTCATTCGTTGATAAATTTTTTGTTTCAATCGTCGTCTTCGGAATCCTGACGACATCTTTACCTGACAGTATTAGAACCATCAACTTCAATCTAATGCTGCCCGGTAAGATGTGAACAGATACTCCATCCGCCTGCAGCCATCTTGATGTCTTGCGAAGAGCGATCTTTGATTTCTTTTTTTTTTCAATAACAATTTCTTGCATTCCTTCTTCTTCTTTTATTCGCTGGGCATCAGACTTGGGATGTGGACCTTGCCGAAATTACTAAAAAAAAATTTTTTAAAGAAAAAATTAATGAAAAAATTATATCTTTTAAGTATAATATATATCTTTAAATGGTAATGTTTATTTATGTTTATATCTGTCTATATCCTTTTCTGAATAAAATAATTTTATATTAATAAAATTAACGAATATATCAAATATACCGAATTATTGCTTGTGAAATCGAAATATCGTAGAAACTAATTTCTCATGCGAGAATTATGGGAAAGTACATTTTGAAGTAATTTTTTATTGCGTTTTACATTGAAAGCGACGTTTATGTAGTGGGCGCACATATTTTATGTTTTCTCTCTTGCTTTCTAACTTATCTACCTTTCGGCCATCCGTACGGCTACATTTAAATATTAAAACGAAAATCCGAAGAAACGACGGACGATCCCTGCATTTATATGCAGGTGTCGTCATAGCAATATTTGTGAAAGCGAGTTCCAAACTGGTCGTCGCACCAGCACAGCTTTAACGAGTGGACTATATATAGATGACACAAAAATAACGCAACATTTTTTTATATTTACAAGAAATTAATATTATAATAATCTTATATATCATTTTATACTATACATTTAATTGTTCTTACATGTATTTTAAGACTCCCGATTGTATAATAGTATTAAAATAAAATTATAAATAAATAATTACCTACAAGATATTTTATTCTAACATAATTTAACATATATAAAATACTTTGTTAAATATTCTTTTCCTCGATGACTAATGTGTTTATGCGATTAAGTAATGAGATGAATCAATTCAAGAAAATTTTAATTACATTTACGAAAAACAATACAATTTATAATGTACGTAAATAAAAATAATAATCATTCGATATTATCCGCAATTGGCGTCCATACGATGGTTGTATCAATAGCTCTTTATGCTAGCAGTAGATTAATATTCATAATGAACATTAACATACTTCTTAAAGATAGCTGCGACTGTTAAATTTATTTACGAATAAATATTCATTTGCGCAAATATAGCAGCTTAGGTTTTTTGTTCAAAGAAAGATGTAATGTGACAAAAATTACAAAAAGCGAGAAAATATTCGCAAATAATTCACTCGAGCGTACAATTAACGACATTTTATTATTCCCCTACGTGCAATTAAATGACAAATATGAAGCAATGGGAGAATAATACAAAAAATTAATTTACTGAAACAGTTAAGTTGAAACACTGGGTTACTGGATTTGTTTGAAACAGAATATAAGTACTATGCTTTCGTACGCATCATTATCAACAATTATCTAAAGTGTTACAGAAAGAGGGTAGAATCACCGATAACCGTTGAAATCTCGAAAATCTAAAAAAAAAAAAAATTTCATCGTTTTGTAAGCTTGGTGTCGCTCCATTAAAGAAAATATGTTTTCAAACACATTTTTGTGTCATAATTTGTGCTATAATAGATAAAATATTCACAAAAAATATTTTCTCCATCATAAAAATACATATGCGTTTATTTAGCAATGTTATACTTTTCATTTTTTTCTCACGACTGTAATTTACGCAAAAAGACGAATTAAAATTTCACTTATAGGCAGAATTCAAGATAGAAAGTATCAAACTATAGCAAAATAAATGTACATGCATTAATATGTATAATCGGTACCCGACCGATTCTCTCAACGTTCAATAAGATATTCGGTAAACTATCGAAAAACACTTGTTCAAATTGAAATCAATCTGTATCAATACGATCGATAATTTTAGCATTGGTTTCAAGATCGAAAAAAAGATTATCGAATATAATATATTTGAAAACATCTTATTAAGTACAAAACTAAATAATTTATATCTTTTTTTCGTAGACATGATTAAAATATAAAAACAAAAATTACTGAAAAATAATTATTTAGATAGAAATATATAGTATCTTTTGATATTTTCGAACCCGGATCAACAAGGAAAAGCAATGTATTTGAAAATTTATTATTAGAGGGAAGTAGTTAAAAAAAAACATTCAAAAATTGTAATTTAATAACCAACTATAGTTATGACAATCTATTCAATACAGAAAAATTCTTAAAATTCATTCAAAAAATTCATCGAAAAAATACGACAAATTTGTTTTGAAATATCTTATAAAGATTATATTGCTTGAATCCGCCTGCGACATATCATGAATTGCGAAGCCTTCGATTATATAGAAACGCAAGAAATAAAATGGATGCTGGATGAATGGAAATGTCGGGTTATTATAAGATGCGAGACATACGACTAAGACTTCATGTTTGTTGCAGATGCAAATGAAGCCTGTTGATCAACATATCACACGTATCGTACACATGATACGTATTAATAAACTACGCAAATGACTTTGCGGATTCACGATCATAAGTTTCTGATTGATACGAGTTAGAATTGATAGCGTTAATAATATTGACCATAAATAAGTTATTAGAAATCTTATTATTGCTTATTAAACTTGCACAAAAGTCACAAAGTTAAATGTTATCAAATCGTTTTTTTTACTTTTTCTCTTTGTCACATTTTTGTTTTTTATTGTCTATGACCTGAACTATAAAAGAGATTTTTTTTAAGATACATTGCTGTATGATATAGATTATATGATTCACTTCTCCATTATTTGAACAGAGAGAGAGAGAGGGGGGGGGGGGGGGGGG